ACTCCGGGGGTCGCGGAGGGCGCTCCCCCCCACTACGGGTACTGCTAGGGGAAAAACTTGCATGTGACGAGCACGCACATCTATTGTGGAATACACATGAGCAATCACTGGAAGAAGAACTAAAAAGTACAAATGCAAAACAAGATTAAAATCAAATATTTAAAATTACTTTGATTAAAATTAATCCACTCTATTTACAGAATAATTATCCACTTTGGGAGTCTCCCAAGCATCTGGTACTAGCCACATCTCATATGGCAATTCCAATGTTCCTAAGAACTTCAAAAAATGGCCAATTCAAGTAAGAGATAACTGAAAAAAAAAGATCTCTATAGGAATGTTTTGGAACCCTTTTCAAAAACAGGTTCTGAAGACTGAAAGATGTACTGTGATTCCTCTCCTTAAACAGAATCTAAACCAGTGGTCCTCAACCTTTCCAGACTACTGTACCCCTTGTAGGAGTCTAATTTGTCTTGCAGACCCCGAAGTTACACTTCACTTAAAAAAACTACTTGCTTAAAAACTCAGACATAAAATACAAAAGTGTCACAGCACACTATTACTGAAAAATTGCTTATGTTTTCATTTTTATCATACAGTTATAAAATAAACCAATTGGAATATAACTATTGTACTTACATTTCCGTATATAGTATATAGAGCAGTATAAACAAGTCATTGTTGTCTGTACGAAATTTTAGTTTGTACAGACTTCGCTAGTGATTTTGATGTAGCCCGTTGTAAAACTAAGCAAATATCTAGATGAGCTGATGTCCCCGCTGGAAGACTTCTAAGTACCCCCAGGGGTACACACACCCCTGGTTGAGAACCAGTGATCTTAATCAACAGTGCTTTGCAGAAGTGTTCACAGATGACCATGTGACTGCTTTGAACATATCTGCTAGTACAACTCATCTTAGGTTGGCAATCAGAGCTATTCTGCCTCAATGAGGGCCATGTTCATGATGTGACTGCAGACCTTCCCAGTCACAGCAGTAATACAATATTAGACAGGTATTTAGACATGGTTGTTTTAGTAATGACAGTGCCTACACAGATGGTGTCAAACACCACATCTACATCCAGCACCCTCCAGGTTTACTCCTAGGCTCCTTCCCCCTCCCTCAGCTCCTCTGTTACCCCTGACTCCCCCAAGCCTTTGCACTCTTCTGACAGGTGCAGGAAATACAGTTCTGTATGGTAATTTAAATGAATTACACAAAGTTCTGTATTAATATGCCTAGTAAGGAATCTATTTGTCAAAAAAAATTACAAGAATCTTTTTTTTGTTTCTTTTGTTGTTACAGACATACTTGACAGATATTTTGAAATAAATTACCAAAATAGTTCAAACTGTCATGATTTATTTTGACAAATAAAATATGCAGATTTTTCAAATATTGTGTGCAGAATATTTAATTTTTTGGTACATAATTCCCCCCGAAGTAACCAATTTGGTGCAACAATAGGCTGAAGCCTTGCTTTGTGAATGGCATAAATCTTTGCAAGATAACTGGTGAAGCACATTTGCTGAGCCTGAAGGGCTGCTAGGACTGAACCAATACCAAATCTCAGCATCCACTGGAGAGATAGTAGTGAGGAAATTGCTTGAAGGAGAAATCCTTTAGAAGTATTCTGGACTGGTATCTTATCAACCTTACAGGATTCTCTCAAGTGCCTCAAAGAATAACCCCATTTATTCCACATCAGGAAATAAAGTTGCACCTTCTCTATTAGGTTGCTGTAAAAACATCAGGCCCATGTTCAAGTCCTCTCAGTCAGCCTCCAACGACAGTTTGTGGCTTTTGTCCCAATCCTTAGAGTGATTAATGGATCAAACCCCAGTTACGTGAAAGACCAAACTGCAATCCATCAACTGCTCAGACAGCTGTACTCCTGTGGGACATTGCAGATCACAAAACCCAGGACTAAGCATGTAAGTACTGGGGGCAGGACATTCTCAGTTCAGGGAATCCAGCTACAGAACAATCTTTCACCTGAAACCAGTGGGTATACGGTCGGCATGGCTAAGCTGTGCTGCCACTGCCCATGCTACCACAACTACACTTTGTGTTAGCTAGCGCAAGTATGTGTACACTTGCTGGGAATCACAGCTCTACTTCATAATGCAGATCGGGTCTAAGAGTGCCCTTAGGCAGTTTAGCTTAGAACACTTTAAAGTGGACTAAGCTCAAGTGCACAAAGGTATTTTCAGTACACAGTAAGAGGGCAGATGGAGAGTTAGTATAGAGTAGCTAGTATAGAGTTTAGTAAATCTAAACTCTACCTTGCTGGTCCCTAACTTCCCATGTAGACAAGCCCTTAGTGAATCCAATGCCTTACTGTTTTTAGGAAACACTGCAAACCCTGCTCTTCAAAAAGACTTTTCCATCATAATGGCAACCACAACTCTGACTCCCCCTTCTAAGTGAAAAGAACCCAACAAAAACAAATCAACCAATTTTTTTTTTAAAAAGAACTCTACCCCAGGCAGAGGTTTTATCCTGAAAAGGGTGAAGTGCCGGACATACTGCAAAGTCTAGTAGGGACTTGACTATTATTATCAATTTTAAGTGGAAAGGTGACAGTGTATAGTCCTAAAATAGTAAAAAAGTTAAATGCTGGGTATCTTCCGTTTGAGGATAGCTAGGAACACTATTACCATCTTTTGATATTCATGGTCTTGTATGTTTCTTTTCAATATTTTTCTGTCTTTCTACATTTTGTGTAATGAAGTTACTGGAAAACCAACTGCTTACCAGTGAGAAATGAGATCCTGTTGCTGGAACAGTAAAGTTATTTTTTTTACAGTATTCTGACTTTGAAGATCTTAGTTTTTTCCATGCTCGTTTACAGCTTAATAACAGCAACTTCAAAGCAGGGGTCATTATGTGCTTTCCATGAAGCGTCACAATTCTCCAAGTAGACCTAATACACAACTACATCATGCTCATCTCCCAGGCACTGTTTCAAGTAGCTGGGCTTCTTTCCTGAGGTGAATCAGGTCTGATGCATCTTTGTGTCAGAGTTTTCTCCTCCGCCACTCCCAACCCAGAATGTTATCCTCATCATCACCATCCAGAAGAAAGGTTCATGTCCAAAGCCTCTTATTTATGAATGACTTGCAGCTATATTTTTGAGTTGGTGTCAAACTTTAGAATAATGTGACTCAAATATAAACTGATTTCAGAGTAACAGCCGTGTTAGTCTGTATTCGCAAAAAGAAAAGGAGGACTTGTGGCACCTTAGAGACTAACCAATTTATTTGAGCATAAGCTTTTGTGAGCTACAGCTCACTTCATCGGATGCATACTGTGGAAAATACAGAAGATGTTTTTATACACACAAACCATGAAAAAATGGGTGTTTATCACTACAAAAGGTTTTCTTCCCCCCACCCCACTCTCCTGCTGGTAATAGCTTATCTAAAGTGATCACTCTCCTTACAATGTGTGTGATAATCAAGGTGGGCCATTTCCAGCACAAATCCAGGGTTTAACAAGAACGTCTGAGGAACGGGGGGGAGGGGTAGGAAAAAACAAGGAGAAATAGGTTACCTTGCATAATGACTTAGCCACTCCCAGTCTTTATTCAAGCCTAAGTTAATTGTATCCAATTTGCAAATGAATTCCAATTCAGCAGTCTCTCGCTGGAGTCTGGTTTTGAAGTTTTTCTGTTGTAATATCGCAACTTTCATGTCTGTAATCGCGTGACCAGAGAGATTGAAGTGTTCTCCGACTGGTTTATGAATGTTATAATTCTTGATATCTGATTTGTGTCCATTTTTTCCTACCCCCCCCCAACCTCTCTGTTCCTCAGACATTCTTGTTAAACCCTGGATTTGTGCTGGAAATGGCCCACCTTGATTATCATACACATTGTAAGGAGAGCGATCACTTTAGCTAAGCTATTACCAACAGGAGAGTGGGTTTGTTGGGGAGGGTGGGGAGAAAACCTGGATTTGTGCTGGAAATGGCCCACCTTGATTATGCTCAAATAAATTGGTTAGTCTCTAAGGTGCCACAAGTACTCCTTTTCTTTTTGCAAATATAAACTGAGAAACTCGGAGTCAAAGACAATTTTTAAAACATATCAACAATGCAAAGACAATCAGTATGTGAAACAGCTTACCAAAACAATTACAGGAATAACTGTGCAACAATAAGACATATATAAGGGAAAAACAATATAAAAAGAGTATAGTGATTAAGAGAAACATTTTCAAAAGCACCTAGGAGAGTTAGGATTCTTAGGAGTCTTGTCTTCACTATGGAGCTAAATCAGCGCTGCTGCAACAAATGCAGCGGTTATCGAGATATTCTGCTGACATTGACCATCCACAGGCATGGCCTCCTGCAGCTCCCATTCCCGGCTAATGGGAGCTGCAGGAAGCGGCGGGCCGCAAGGACGTGCCGGCCGCTGCTTCTTGCAACTCCCATTGGCCAGGAATGATGAACCTCGGCCTCTGGGAGCTGCAGAGGGCCGTGCCTGTGGATGGTCAATGTCAGCAAAATGTCTCACAGCCCGCAATCTGATTACCCTGATGGGCCACAGGTTGCCCACCACTGCGCTAAATTGATGGGAGAGCGCTCTCCCATCAATATCTATACTCCACTTCAACGAGAGGCAGAAGCAATGTCGGTGGGAGAGTGGCTCCCGTTGACACAGCGTAGTGTGGACCCCGCGGTAAGTAGACTTGAGTTATGTCGACTTGAGTTATGCTACTAACTTAACTCAAATTGCGTATCTTAGATCGACCAGCAGCTGTAGTGAAGACAAGCCTTAAGTTCCACTGAATTTAAATGGGACTTTGTGATGTCTGAAAATGGGATGCAGGCACACTTCCTCACGCCAAATTAAGGTACAGAGAGAGTGGAAAGGACAAGATAGAAGGATCACAAAGGTCTTCCACTCCCCAAATTCTAGTTTTCAAATAAGTTCTTCCACAGTAATTGTAACTAAGAAAAAATTATAACAGATTATATCAAACAAACAAATACCTTTGCTTTTTAGTATTACTGGCAGGAGTTGTTTTTGGAGAGAATATAAATGGGTATTTTCTGGTGCAGTCACAGTTTGAGGTTTTGACATTTCTTCTAATCTTGGAGGAATAACTTCAGAAGCTGTGGCTGCTGCATCATCCTTTGCTGTTAACATTGGTAGTAAAGATGAAGGATTCCCAAATGTCAAAACGTTGGGGCTTTTAGTACCTGGTAAATTTTTAAGTGAAATGCTAGTAGAATCCCAGTCTGATACATCTGAAAAGAATATCAGATTTAAAAGAATTAAAATGCAGACAGTAATGCTAAATTCTAGTAGCATACTCAGTTATCCATGACCACCATATAGCAGACTGCATCTTTCTACCCTCAGATGCACATGTACAGGTCAGAGTTATCCCAACAGTATCAAAACCACTTAGACACATCTCAAGGCAATCTGTGCACATCCAGCGACTATTACTCTAACAGAACATAGCTTGCGTGTACCTTAGCAAGCCACAAAACATTATTTTTGATGCTATCTTATGATTAAGGGGAGAGATCATTTTTTTTCCTTTCTGAACTGAGATTTCCTTCCTAAGAAATAAGGGTTCTTTACAGAGGGATTCTTGCAGTGACTCCAGAGTGAAAAAAGAACTGATTATTTTATTTGCATAAAAACACTATGGGAAAGGGATCATAGAATCATAGAATATCAGGGTTGGAAGGGACCTCAAGAGGTCATCTAGTCCAACCCTCTGCTCAAAGCAGGACCAATCCCCAATTAAATCATCCCAGCCAGGGCTTTGTCAAGCCTGACCTTAAAAACTTCTAAGGAAGGAGATTCTACCACCTCCCTAGGTAACGCATTCCAGTGTTTCACCACCTTCCTAGTAAAAAAGTTTTTCCTAATATCCAACCTAAACCTCCCCCACTGCAACTTGAGACAATTACTCCTTGTCCTGTCCTCTTCTACCACTGAGAATAGTCTAGAACCATCCTCTCTGGAACCACCTCTCAGGTAGTTGAAAGCAGCTATCAAATCCCCCCTCATTCTTCTCTTCCGCAGACTAAACAATCCCAGTTCCCTCAGCCTCTCCTCATAAGTCATGTGTTCCAGACCCCTAATCATTTTTGTTGCCCTTCGCTGGACTCTATCCAATTTATCCACATCCTTCTTGAAGTGTGGGGCCCAAAACTGGACACAGTACTCCAGATGAGGCCTCACCAATGTCGAATAGAGGGGGACGATCACGTCCCTCGATCTGCTCGCTATGCCCCTACTTATACATCCCAAAATGCCATTGGCCTTCTTGGCAACACGGGCACACTGCTGACTCATATCCAGCTTCTCGTCCACTGTCACCCCTAGGTCCTTTTCCACAGAACTGCTGCCTAGCCATTCGGTCCCTAGTCTGTAGCTGTACATTGGGTTCTTCCGTCCTAAGTGCAGGACCCTGCACTTATCCTTATTGAACCTCATCAGATTTCTTTTGGCCCAATCCTCCAATTTGTCTAGGTCCCTCTGTATCCTATCCCTCCCCTCCAGCGTATCTACCACTCCTCCTAGTTTAGTATCATCCGCAAATTTGCTGAGAGTGCAATCCACACCTTCCTCCAGATCATTTATGAAGATATTGAACAAAACCGGCCCCAGAACCGACCCCTGGGGCACTCCACTTGACACCGGCTGCCAACTAGACATGGAGCCATTGATCACTACCCGTTGAGCCCGACAATCTAGCCAACTTTCTACCCACCTTAGAGTGCATTCATCCAGCCCATACTTCTTTAACTTGCTGACAAGAATACTGTGGGAGACCGTGTCAAAAGCTTTGCTAAAGTCAAGAAACAATACATCCACTGCTTTCCCTTCATCCACAGAACCAGTAACCTCATCATAGAAGGCGATTAGATTAGTCAGGCATGACCTTCCCTTGGTGAATCCATGGTGGAATATTTATCTATGCTCTGAAAGCCCCATATTCTAAAAACAGATATGATTTGAAAATCAGTATCTAGGGAAGCAATATGGAAAAGTAATATCTGTGATCATTTGGGGGTCATCCAAGCCAGTAAAGGGTTCAGTCAACACCTGCCTTGGAACTCTGGGTACCTTAAATGTTATGCTGTTGTGGCTCACAGCCCTGACACCAACAGCTAGCATACAAGCAAGCAGGTCACACCCTGGATTCTACTGCCCAATTACTCTTTACAGGGGACATCGAAAATCTTTTCAGCCCTGAGTTCTGCCCCCAAAACATCTTTCTCTACAGTGCTCAGACCCTCTTACTGTGGCATTCACAAATCTTATCAAGTTTGCTGCTCCTTTAAAGAGACAGTACACAGCAGCTTATTAATAGGGCTGTCAAGTGATTAAAAAAATTAATAGCGCTGTTAAACAGTAGTAGAATACCATTTATTTAAATATTTTTGGCTGTTTTCTACATTTTCAAATATATTGATTTCAATTACAGCACACAATACAAAGTGTACAGTGCTCACTTTATATTTATTTTTATTACAAATACTTGCATTAATCATGACTAATTTTTTGAGTTAATCGAGTGAGTTAACTGCGATTAATCGACAGCCCTACTTATTAACTTAACTGGAGTTGACAAACAAGCAAAGCACTGAGCTGGTTTATGGCAAATGTAAAACAAGCTTATTAACAAAGAGACATAGGTTTAAGTCAGGGATTGGCAACCTTTGGCATGCGGCCCGTCAGGGAAATCCGCTGCAAACCGCGGCCAGTGGGAGCTGCAATCGGCCGAACCTGCAGACACTGCAGGTAAACAAACCGCCCCGGCCCGCCAGCAGATTTCCCTGACACGTCACGTGCCAAAGGTTGCCGATCCCTGGTTTAAGTGATACCAAGTATAAGGAACAAGGTTAGAAACGACTACAAAAAATAACAAGTAAAAATATGCTTCTACAACTGAATTTCAACTTAAACTAGTCTTTTCTTCAAATAAGTTTCTCACCACAGACCTCAAAGTGTGTCAGAGTGAGGAGACAGAGCTGGAGCAACAGAAGCTTACTGACCAGGACAAACATAGGTGGCTTGAACAGAAGAGGGGGGTAAATCACACAAATGAAACTTGGAGGAAGGACATAATGATGTGCCTGATCAGGTGCTAGCACACAGACAGGTGTATTGTGGACCCCGTTACTCCGCTTGTAGCCTGAGTCACTATGGACACTAAATGTTATTCCGACCGTGTGAACATGGGAAGTGTTTTTTTCTTGATGTGCTACTTTCTGTGATGATATAACAAGGTTGAGCCCAAGGGCTAAGGTACAAACCTGTCATGACCACACTCAGTGATTAGGGGTATAAACCCTCACTGGGGAAATTGAGTCAGTGTTATGTGTGTCTGTGGCACAGCTAAAAGGTGCTGTGGCCCAAGTTCTGCTAGAAGTGGTAGGACCCTAGCACAGATAGGATAATAGCTATGAGCCAGCACTCCACTGAGAGCAGGGAACTGAGGCACAGCTGGACGGTGTTGTGACCCAAACTCTGCTGGGAGTGGTGAATCACTAGTAGAGCTACGTAAATAGCTGTGGGCCAAGATTCCTCTGGGAGCATGGCAGAGTCAGGGTGGTAAGATCTGGTTTCATGCTCTTGGAATCCTTTGGCCGAAGTGACCCAGATGGGTGTGCAGCAACTGCTGGGGAAATATGGATGGGTAAGGAGGGGAAAAGGTGACCCGTAACCTGGGCTCAGGGGGATTTAGGACCAACGCCTAAGGAATGGCTAATTGTGCTGCATCAATGTCAGGGGGGAGGTGTGACAAAAATGCCCATTGGTGGTTCACTACTCTGTGTCAGCAACTTTTGTCAGGCCTGACATACTCACTAAACCTTACACACTGTTGTCATAATTTGTCTCTAAAAGGTATCACATGTAAGGAATAATATACAACTGGGAACACCTGGCCCCCCAAATCATTGTGTAGTATATGTATAGTGTGTACAAAGAGTTATAAATACATTCTAGAATTATGTTCTTAAAACGTGTTTGACCAACAATGCATAACCCAGTCTGTCCAGGACAAAGGAATATGTATTTGTTTGTCTGACCAGCCTGGTCGTCAGGCAGAGACAATGAAGATCCCGATATATATAAGGTAAACAAAACTATCAAGCAAAAAAGTGGGGGAGAAGATAACATAGAATTTACACCCCTGAAGGAGAAAGAAACTTTATCTGGGCTCATGTTTCACAGAATACATTTTAAAAGATTACTGGACTATGAAAAGAAAGGAAGAGAACCCCATAGTTATCCTTCACTCAAATAGTCAAAGAAACCAAACACTTTGAGCTCTGTGTGTTGGGTCCTGGTTCAAGAATGGGCCAGCCATGTTGGAAGAATGTCAGTGATGAGACAAACTACTCTAGTTAATATTTTAAGTAGATTTTTAGTGTTAGAAACATATTTTTAGTTTTGTTTGTAACCATTTCTACCTTATTCTTTATACTTGGTAACACTTAAACCTATGTCTTTTTGTTAATAAACTTGTTTTACTTTTACAATAAACCAACTCTGTGATTTATTTGAAGTGGAAGGTTTGTCAATCCCAGTTAAGTTAATAAGCTGCTGTGTACTGTCACTTTAAAGGAGCAGCGAACTTGATACGGTTTTGTGGATGCTACAATAGGAGGGGCTGTGCACCGCAGAGAAAGATGATTTTGGGGCAAAACTCAAGGCTGGAAGGGTTGTGGAGTTCCCCCTGCAAAGAGAAATTGGGCAGTGGAAGCCAGGGTACAACTTGCATGCTAGCTGTTGGTGTCAGAGCTGTGAGCCACAACAGCATAGCATTTAAGTCACCCAGAGTTCCATGGCAGACGTTGACTGAACACCATAACTGGCCAGGGTGAACCCCTAAGTGTCACATTGGCATAGGCAGCAGGATTCACATACAGGTTGCTATTTGAGAATTACACTTCAAGCAACAATAAAATAGTTTTAAGTGATTCACAAGTCAAAAGGCTGGAAACAATCAAAGAAAGATTACAGCTTAATTATTTTCTGTTTATTATCTCAAGTGTGGAAATAGAATAAAGGAAGTTTAAAATTAGCAACTGTGAAACAACTGCAAATTTAGAGCTGGCTATATCGGAAAAGAAGCAAAAAGCCCTAAAATGAGAGGCTGAAAAAGCTGCACAAGAATACCAGAAATGAGAAGTCAAACAAGACAGACAGACATTTTTGGGGAAGAACTCAGGTATGGAAGGGTTGTTGAGGATCCCCAGAAAAGCGTAACTGGGTGGTGGAAACTAGTTGCATGCTTGTATACTGGCTGTTGGTGTCAGGGCTGTGAGCCGCAACAGCATAGCATTTAAGGTACCCAGAGATCCAACTCCTTACTGAACTCTTTACTGGCCTGTGTGAATCCTTATGCATCACAGTATCTTCTTTGTTCTGTCTTTTACAGGCTTGGCAAATGCAGTACATTTCCCTTCCCCCACAGATTTACAGAGTAATGAAATAGGTGCTCCTAGGCCCCTTGGACACTGGAAACATCTAGCCACTAGTGACATGAGACCATCTCCATGTGCATGAACTCTGCTTAAAGCTGCTTTGAAACAAAGAAATATCTGTGAATATTTCTCTCAAGTCTGACTCTTGAGATAATGTTAAACTGAAGAGAATAAGGTGTCATGGAACTTACTGGAAAACATTGAGCAGATGAACAGTACGAGCCAACAAAAATATGCCTCTAACTGCCTATCTGTTTGTTCTGCATTTGTAACATAATGAGATCCTGGTCTATTACTAGTGCTACTGTAATACAAATAATAAAATATCCAACTCTTTCAGCTTCTTCCAAAAAAGCACATGCTGCAAAAAGATGAGAAAAATGGAAGCTCATGCTTTTAACACATGTTCTGCTTTCAAACTACAAGCATACATTTACAAATTTCTCTAAAAAGAAGCTTAGTCTCCATTGAATTCGAAGTGGGGAGAACTGAAGTACCTTTCCTTTTTAAAAACAAAAAGAATTTGAGATCCTAAATCATAAACAGACTACATGTACGCTATATACACTTTATTTACAATGCATTTCAAAATACATGAAAGTTCTCTCTTTTACTGACCTGCCTAGAACTGAATCCAAGGTTTTGTATTCCCCCATTTCAGTTGATATGCTTAACACCTAATTTTTGCAGCGGGAACACAGAACCCTGAATTCAGCTCTTGGCTGATAAATAAAAGAAAAAAAGACACATTACAAATCAATGTAAATTAAACCAAACTTAAAAATCCTTTAAGTCCACATTTTCTCTATACAAGATTTAGGATCTCAAACTGGGGCTGTATTTTTGGATCAGTTATTGTGTGTTCTTCAAGAAAGAATTAGCAAATGTCACAAGGCATGTTAAAAGCAAAGAATACTAACAAATTAAATATGGAAGTTTTATACATTGACTGTAAATCATTTTTTGTATAAATTGCAATTAAAACATGTTAGTAAAAAAAAAAGGACAAAAAACATATAAATACCTTCAATATCATCTGCATCATCTAAACCAAGTTCTTCCATTAAATCTTCAAAAGAAAAAAAATAAGCAATGTTGAAGATAAATATTTGTTAATGAAGATGCCCAATCCCACATCAAAATTTGATGTAGTGAATATTACCTGACTTTTGCCTTTTGCCAATCTCGATTCCCTTTGCAGGACAAGAAGAGGTGTCATTTGTTTCTAAAATTGCTTGAGTGGTCTTTGGCTATTATAGACAATCCAACACACAAAAATTAAATAAAATTCAAAATAATGATATATTCTTTAATTAGTAAGACAAATTCTTAGCATAAATGACACTTACCTGTGAATCAAGATTTTTTTCACAAAATCCTAAAAAGAGGAGGAAAAAGTATTATCTAGTGTCTTTTAAAATCCTGAAGTGTAATAGTTATCAACTTCATGCAAAATTAGTACCTTGTGTGACAACTATGTATTGACTATTTGCAACCATTGTTTTAATTCCACAAGACTTATTTTTAGTTAGGCTAAATATATCATAGCAACCAGCACGTTAGTATTATAGAAACTCAAGATTGTTCAATCATGCATCTCAGATTTCAAGTGACCAAGCTAGAGTAATTCATGTGAAGTAATAAGGCCATGCTGATCAACAGTACAAAAATAAAACCTTTATTCTTTCTTAGAAGGCAATAATCCATTCCCTGAGTGGAAAGTTACAAAAGCCAAAGTGGAATGGAGTAGTTTAATATGTTATAAAGCAGTGCAACAGTACAATTATTATGATTATCCCACAAGTGTTTGTGTGTTGAAGAATCTCTATTTTCTGTAGATGGGAGGAGTCAGAGGAGAGTTATATGCAAGTACAGATGTCATCTCAGTTCAGTTATCTGGCAACAAATTCTCAACACAGAGACCTCTAAATGATGTTATCTCAGTTTAGTGATCTACAGATCAGTGTGCTTTGATTACCAGGAACTTACAGAAACAACTCTTCTGTTTGGCTGTATTGTCCACTTTTAATACAATTCTCAATAACAGCTTCAACTTTTGTCTAGCGTAAAATCATTTCCATACCCATGTGATCTACTGGCCTATCTACACTTCTTGTAGCCTCTACCTTAGTCATCATATAGTTTCTCGATTCTCTTTTGCAACGAGGAATATAAAATGTTAGAAAGCATGTACAGCACAATTTTAATACTACCAACATTCAAGTGTTCTTATAAGCAACTATTACTTCATCTCAACAAAACTGCTGTCCAGTGATACGGTAATCTTTCTCATGTATTTCCACAATTGTCTTTTGATCTTTTTAAAAAACATTTTATTTAGTTTAGCAGAATCATACCAAAGTAAAGGGAATGCAAGACTTCCCCAAAGCAACCCTGCAGTACAGGATTTCAAGCCTTCAAAAAGATGGAAAAGTTTTGGCTACAACTTAATGACATATGATATGAAATTTTCATTTAATTGTGTCAATATGTTCATCATGTTCCAATAAGAGTGAATTCTTTAAAGACAAAAATAGGAAGAAACATGCTGTCTTAGCAGTAGAACGTTCTTGCCCTCCTCATAAGCACGTAGTCACAGAGCACCATGCAGAAAGTTTATTATTTTAAATATTAAGGTTTATGTATTATTTTATTAAATAACATTTTATCCATTACCAGGCAAAACAAAGAGAGAGATCAATATAAAAGTAGCTACAAAAGGAGGAAGTATTACCCTTTTGTGTTCAACGTTCACCCACCAGGAAAAGTCAAGAAATTCAAAAGAGGACAGATACTGCCAACAAAGTTTAGAGAATCAGGCAGATGCTGGGTTGAAAAGAGTCAGTCTTTGCTCTACAGGCTAACAGATTTGAACTCTGGCTAACCAGCAGAAGTAGCAAGTTCCATAGCCCAGAACTTTCAAATGAGAACAGTTTCTTCCAGGTGTCAAGAGCACGCTTCTGGGGACAGGAAGCAAAAGTGCATCAGGTATCTCAGACATTTTGTTGGTGCACAGAGAACGAGAAGAGGCTTGATTCTTAATAGTGGATTGGCAGAGCACAGGGGTTCTCAAACTGGGGGTCATGACCCCTCAGGAGGTCGCGAGGTTACTACATGGGGGGTCATGAACTGTCAGCCTCCACCCCAAATCCCGCTTCGCCTCCAGCATTTATAATAGTGTTAAATATATCAATTTTTTTTTAATTTATAAGGAGGGTTGCATTCACAGGTTTTCTGTGTGAAAGGGGTCACCAATACAAAAGTTTGAGAACCCCTGCCATAGCAGATTGGAACTCTATACCAGATGGGGCACGGAGAAAAGGCACAGACCTGGATCTGGCAAAGTTACACCCAACAGAGAGTTCCTCCCATGGTCCCTCTGTTGAGAATTTGTGGCCAGATTACAGCACCTTTATGTGCCTAAGCAGTGCCAAAGGGCCCCAGCACTCAAGAAAATCTGGTCTGATATGTCCAAAATTGTCCAGCTCTAAGCCAGGTAGGGCTTTACATACTGACACATAATATTAATTGCAGCCAAAACCACTGGAATGAATGAAGAATAAGGATGATGGGTCCAGCTGGACCTGCTCCACTAACCATGCAGACTACCAAATTCTGCATAAACTGAAACAAAGTGGCCACTAAGGTAGCATTAAGTATTGCACAATTATGCTAATCAAGATGTGAGGTGTCAAATGTCTTGAACAATCAAAAGACATCTGTAACTATTAACCATTATTTTGTGCAAGGTTCGTATTGTTATTCTTTTTTAATATTGAATAGAGCAATAATCTTTTACAGTGATTTATAGAAAGATTATTTGGCACACAAAAGGGATACAACTACGGACTTCCCATTTGCCATTTGAACAGTTAAGAAAACTAGACTTCTCAGATGCCAAGTACTACCCTTTCTGGACTCAAAAATAAATTAGTATTCATAGATAAAGTCTGAATTCAGAAAATGAAAAAAATCATATATTTCCAAGAAAATTATCTACTTCATTCACTCCTTTCTATCTAGAACCATCTGTTAAGCTCTGGAAAGTGGAATATTTGAAAATATAAATGTAATGGATCCAAAATAGCTGGGCACTGAGAGTACCATTTATGAGACACACAGATGCTAAGCAAATAAAATACTCTGTCTTTGCCTCTGGGAGTTCACCCAAATCTTCCTTCCCCCTTAAGGTTTCTCACTCTCAGGATGGAGATTATGAGGTCCTGAAGTAATTCACAAAGGATGATCTCAGGTCATTCAGAGTCAGACATTCTATCAAGCCAAAACCTCCCCATCTCTTTATAACTTTCCTAGGCTAAACCTCCTGGGCCAATAAAACTACAGAGAGGAAATAAATATAACAGCAGCAAATCATAACACTTTTTGATCATAAAAAAATCTTGCATACCATCTTTTCTGCCAGAAAAAACTTTCTATACAAATAAAAAGAATGAACCTTGTCAAGATTTTGAAGAACATTTACAAGTCTAGTGAAAACAGAGTTTGAACTACTAAGGAGAGTATCATTCCAATTACTATCCATTTTAGCTGCTAGTCAATGGCCAAGGACATACAAACTACCAGAGTTCCTCTGAAATGGATCACCTCCTGAATTAATGTCAAAGCATTTTCTGCTCCTATTAAGAATAAAAAAACCCAAAACTATTAATAATGACAATTAACAAACAGTTTTCTATTGCCACTGAGAGAACCACCCCCTCCTTTTTTTGAAGAATTCCTAAGGAATACATAGAAAATTAAGCTTATTCTATAAAAGCTCATGAAGTATGGATAACAATACAATGATAAAATTACCTTCATTTGGTTCCTCAAAAATACTCTGCATGTGTGTTTCAGTTCTGACAGCAGATGAAATTAACAGGTTGACTGGTAGTTTTCTTGGGCTTTCAGAAGCACACTGGTTAATTAAAAATATGCATGATAACCTGGATACAATTCATTTTTAATTGCTTTCTACAGAAAAAGTATAAATATTTTTAGTTGTTGGGTATCAGCAATGATTTACAACCAAATACTTTTGCGTTCTACCCACTATACATAAAAAGAAAAGGAGTACTTGTGGCACCTTAGAGACTAACCAATTTATTTGAGCATGAGCTTTCGTGAGCTACAGCTCACTTCATCGGATGCATACCATGGAAACTGCAGCAGACTTTATATAAGCTATTACCAGCAGGACAGTGGGGTGGGAGGAGGTATTGTTTCATATCCTCTGTGTATATATAAAGGCTGCTGCAGTTTCCACGGTATGCATCCGATGAAGTGAGCTGTAGCTCACGAAAGCTCATGCTCAAATAAATTGGTTAGTCTCTAAGGTGCCACAAGTACTCCTTTTCTTTTTGCAAATACAGACTAACACGGCTGTTACTCTGAAACCTGCCACTATACATAGTACTCATATATCTCTGAAAAAGCTTTGGAAAAGGAATGTCATAATATAGACTATTTAAAAATCGTAATACTTATGAATATTTTCAATTGAAGTGTTAATATAATGCTAGTTAAAATTTCTGTCAACTAAGATGTCTGAACCAGCCTTGATAAACACAGAAGAACTGGTAACATGAAGTAGGGAAATAAGATAACAAATCAAGAAAATGAAAAAAAAAACGACTGCTTGAATAATAATTGCAGTTCTTTACAATGATTGTTTGTTTGTATCTCTATACTGTAGGTGCAGGTGATGTTCATGTCCTCAGCACACAAGTCTATAGGAATTGTGCATACACCCTACGATAATCAATAGGCCCACAGTTGCACAGGGAATGCTATGAGGAGGACTGCAGAAACAAAGTCCAACAAGGCCAAAAAGTTGACAAACACTAACACTAACTATCCTAAAACTTTAAGATTAACATTTTAAAAGGATAAAAGTTAAATGCTCTCAAAAGGAGACTAATGTGATAAAACACCACTACATTCTCCTTTCTTCCTAAAGCAGTCTGCAAGAACTGAGTAGCAACTGGGGCTATCCTCTGGATATGGGAGAGGCAAGAGACCATAGCTAGGGTTTATGTGCAGCTCCAATGGTTACAGCTTTTTCATAATGTGCATCAGCTTAAGAGGGGATTTATAGAGGCAATGCTTGCAGATCAGATAAAGGGTGAAAACCTGGCCCCAAATCCATTCAATGAGAGTTTTACTGTTGACTTAAATGGGGCCAAGATTTCATTGTCTTTTTTAAAATAAAATAAAAAAAAGATTTAAATACCTAATATTTTTAACTTTCAAAAACATTTAAAACAACTAAACTCTTTAATAATTCAATATGATGCTAGAAATACTAATTGAATCGGGGGGGGGGGGGGGGAGAGGGGGTCACTGCCAGGAGACCTAGGTTATTAGCAGTCTTAACTAATCAGCCCCTAATATAGCATAAGTACTTCAAAACCACAGCATCAAGCCCTATGATCCATTAAGCAGCGAAGAAGTCAGAAATGCAATAAAAGTAAACTCTTGAGAGGTAGTGAATCGAATACAATTGGTGGGATCATAATAGCCATATTAATGGAAAGTACCTCTGAATCCCAGGGTGATTCTGTATCCTCCTCCTCTTCCAATCCTAATACTGACATTGTATCCACAGAATAAAACAAATATGAAATTTTACTTTTCTCTTATGAACATTTCACATTAGTTTGTTCTCTATCTGATAAGCCCTGTATTCATAAAATAGCCAATAGGCATACATAATTTATCTCAATCTGTATACAGATAATTCACATGTGCTGCTAAGGTAGCTGCACACCACAGTGTGTCACTCTGTTTTCTTTAGGACTCCATCTTTCTTCCCTCCTCCAGTGGGAGCCTGCTAAACACCTGCCATACCCGCTGAAGAAAGAAACTGAAGGCTAAGGCCTGGTCTAGACTTAAAACTTACATTGACTTAGCTATGTCCTTCAGGGCTGTGAAGTATTTTGCAACTTAAGTTCAGCCCTTAAATTGACCTAAACCCGGGTGCAAATATGGCTAAATCAACAGAAGAATTCTTCCATCGATTTCATTACAGCCTCTCACGGAGGTTGGTTACCTACACTGATGAAACAACTCCTACGCTGATACAGGAAGCATCTATACTACGGTGCTACGCTGGCACACATGCAGTGCTGTAGCTGAGCAGCTGTAGTGTAGACATACCCTGAGAAATACCTAAATCCTTATTTGTGAAGGCATGATGACATCCTCAAAATTCAGTGTTCTGGCTGCATCTGCTGGTTGGGAGGAACTTTAACAAATATCTGAACTGGTATAGAAGATTCAATTGAATAAGGATTTTTATAGAGCACTGGTGTTACATGCTGCCACTGAGTAGCTCCACTTAAATGTATTCTGTACTAGCCACAGTTTACAAATGGTTTTAAGGTGTAGCATGATTTGGAGTGTGTTGCAGTACTCAAAAGTTACAAAGGCACGGTGATGGAAGCTACATCCCATCAAAAAATAGATTTGAACCCTACCTGCCAGACACAGAAGAAAAATAACATCAGTACTAGCCACTGCTGCTATCTGATCATCTAAAAGCAACTGAAGGTTGTGAAATTAGATAATTTGTAGAAATACAACTTCAACTAAAGGGTTGGATGTAACATTCACCCTCTCTTCTGATTGTTGTCGTCAACTCACCAATGTCATTTTAGACATATCTGTGAGGTGACTTAATTTAAAAATGTAGGCTATAAAAAATCTGAATTATTCCTATTTCTGTGCTTTACAATATGTCCAATCTACTTTATGCCTTTTTTAGATTATAAGTGCTTCAAGACAGGCGTAAGTGCTTCAAGTGTAATGTATGTCTTGTACTCTTTGGAGTCCTTCAGAAACAAAGGAACAAAGTGATTTATCAGCTGAGTCATTCCCTGAAAGTGTACCAGGGCAAGTGAAAAACATCTCATGGTTCACAATACCAGAGGCAGCAAATTATGATCTTTTCTTAGTACTCTTACACAGTAAACTAATCTAAGAAAAACATTTGGGTTACTATTTACTAATTTACCTTTCCTAATAGGAGTATCTTCTGAGGGATTCTGTGCTTCACGGTTGCCACTACAAATCAAATTTTTATCTCCAACATTTGAAATTTGTGGTTGTTCTATGTCATCTTCCTCCTCTGATGATTCTTCCTAGTGGAAAGAGATTGAATGAAAAATATCTTCCCAAAGAAAAATACTAATTATTTTCTATTTTAAGATGTTATACTCCCACTCATCATTGTAGTGTCTGAGTGCCTGCTACATTAAATCAACAGTAATAGCAGAGTCACTTTTTGAGGCAAAAAACTCTGCTTGGGTATGGGGTTTGTTTAGTTGGGTGGATGATTCATTTGTTTTAGGTGGGTTTTGTTTTGTTTTTTTGGATGGGGACAAATTTGTTTGGATGAAGGTATCAATGTTGAGAGTATCATTTTGCTATGGTGAAAAGTTCTTGCAGCATTTTCTAAAGATGGTCAGATTCACCTAATCTCCTCTGGAATTTCATTCCTTATTTGATCACCTCAACCAAGAATGCTTTTATTCCCAGATCTCACACACTTAACAATGGGCTTTATCTGTATTGTCCCAGAGGTGTGCAACTAACCTTCTGATTCTAAATGTGACTTTATATTCCAACCACCTTCTTTTACTCATTTTTTGTATTAAAAAAAAAAGTAAATTAAAAAAAATTCAGTTTATGCTGTTATAGTTCAATTTACTTTTCGTAACACATTTGGATTTTGTCAGAGCCCAATTACTCTTGCAGATAATACCCTATTTATTTTATGCATCATTCTTTAGGCCACAAATTATACTGACTTCAGAACAATGAGTCTAAAATTCATCCTTCTATAGCATCATAACCACATTTGGAATAAAAAAAATGCTGCTCATTACTATCCTAACTAATGCATGAAAACTCTGCTTTATTGGAAACAAGTTTATGGTCAGTCATTTCTTTATTCAATGCTGAAGATCAGATTAAATTTGAGTTACATGATTCTTGTTATCAATCTTGTATAAAGGTTTTTCATTTAACTATATTCAAACCATTCAGTTACAATACAAGTACCTTGTGTCTTATCTTCTGCTTTACCTGTGTAAAAATCCTTGTTATTGGGTTTGTCCCTTTTTACTTACTTTGATGCTTGGTTGAAACGCTTCTTTTAGATTTTCATCACCGCTATTTACAGGCAAATTCTCACTTTCTGGTTCCAGTGTTTCACAGACTGTATTACCCAATTCCTTGGAATTCTTGCATTGCTCCTTTCCAGCATTTTGATCACCTACAAATCTAAGCTTCTCTGAGTCCTGTCTTCTGTTCTCACACCTTGGATTTTCTGTCTCTGACCAAGGATCATCATCACTTTCAAAGATATCATCTACTAGATTTGGGTTTTCCTCCTTAATATAACAACTATTTAAGACAGATGGAGATGCACCTTTTTTCCAGGCTGTCATTTCAGAACCTTCAAAAGAAGAGCAGTTCTTACATCTGATTTTCTCATTTCCATCGGTATGTAACAATTCATTTGTATTCTGAAATTCATTAATTTCTTCATGTTCACTACCATCATCTTTTTTTGATGAATCATAAGGTACTTCATTATTTACCATCTTAGATGATATGGCAGTTATATTTTCCTTTAAACCTTCATAATGTCCAGCTATAAAAGACACAGGAATATCAACAGATTCCTGCATTTCCTGATCTTTCTCTTCACATGTTTCATGACTACCACCATAGTGTATATTTTTGCTTCCACTTTTAACTTCCCTTTCAGATTTAACAGCATTGTTAAAGATTTCTAACTCTTGATCACGCTTATGCTCCAATTTTCCAACATATTCCTCTTCCTCATCTTCTGTGTAATCATCTTGACTTCCTTCTTCATCTTCTGTATCTTCATCCTCCTTTTCTTCCTGACTAAATTCTTCCTCATCATCTTCCTCCTCTTCTTCTTCCTCTAATTCTCCTTTCTCCTGTTCGCTTGCTTCTGAAATATCTTCATTTGTCAGTTCTTTACATTCTTTTTTATTCAAATTTGTGTGATTTCTGGTTACTTGTTTGAGGTTTTGCCTTGATGACTGAGGACTTCCAATTCTAATATCCTCGCCATCTTCATAAAATCATAGATGAATTTGAAAAAGAAAAACACAACATAGGAACCAACAAATTAATTGCACAAACAAAAATTTACCTTTTTAAACCCCAGGAGAGGAGGAGTCATCTGGGAAGGTTTTGAAAAGGAGCCAGGTGAGGGATGGACAGGTCGAGGGTAGGACTTGACTTGGGAAAAAGGCTTAGGAGGGGATTCAATGACATCTTCAGCTTCACAATCAGATTTATTTTGCTGTGAAATGGCTATATGTTCTGTTCTCATAATGCTACTTTTCTCACCTACTACAGTAAAAAAACCAAAGATTAAATATACTTAAAAGAGGAAGTAAAATACATAATAAATCTACAATTTCCTATCAACATATAATGTAGTAAAGGAGATTCCCCCTGCCGCCCCCAATTGCTTACTGTTTTTCTTGAATTGCTGGGAAGAGTTCATTAGCAGAGTCAAACTTGGTTTCTGTGGTTTCTGTAAATAAAGTTAACTTTAAGCACATTGAGTTTTTACATGAATAGTAAGCAACACCCCTCTCTTTTTATCAAATATTGAAGACTAAATTCATTAACATTTTCTTACTGACAATGCCAGTTGAGGTCTCCATCCTGCAGTCCTGACTCAGCCAGCACTCTCACTGAAGTCAGTCAATGAGAGTTTTGCCCAAAAGATTTAGCCCATATATCATTAAATAAAATATTTCTAAGTGAATTATAGTCTACAAAATCTTTTCTTTAATCCAGTCGGCATTAGCAATACTGGCATTTAGGATATTTTGTTTAAATTTTATGTCTAAGAGTCTTAAATACTTGGTTCCCTAGGATTAGTCAACAGATTAGTCACTTAAAATGGCCCAGTCCACTGCCTGATGACATCAAAATTCCTACATCATGATGGGAAGATGTTACTGCTTCTATTTTAACACACAATGCACGTGAAATACAGTGGAAATTCAGCAATTTATCATCTGAGTGGAAGAGGAAAAGTCATCAAATTGATACAAAAAATACTTATACAGAAGTTTGCAGGAATTTGGATAAAAAGAAATTCGTGATCCAGACAGATAATCTAATGACTGTATTTTAAGGTACGTTTTCAAAGAAGTTCATGAAGATTTAACTATGTGTTTCTTCACTGGTGTAACATAGGAAATTCCCTATGCAATGCTTTTAAAACATACTCCTAAATTTTCATGTACAACTTCTAAGGAGGTTTCAGAAGGTCTAATGAAAACCACAGTTGAAAGAGTGGACCTTCAGCAGGTAGTGCTTCCATTATTCACGTTCCATGCTTAATGAGAATGGAAAAGGCCTAATAAATAATTCTAGTGTCTACCATGTTCAATCAAATTATTCAGCAAGTGGTGGTGCTTAGAAAAAGATCTAGTGCTCCTTAACAGCCTATTGTGTATTTTAGCAATGGTATGTTAATACTATAAGCACTTGTATTTAAAAAGAGAAATCAAAATACAGAACAGTTACTTACATTTCAATGCCTGTTGCTTCAAGATGTTTTGTCCACATAGATCCCACAGGAGCATGAAAGATCAGATTCTTTTGGCCAGCAATCTCCACTGGGACTGCGGCTGCACCCTTCACATCCTCATGTCCCCCACCCAAGAACATAAAGGGTAGAGCAAACTCAATCACTTCTCATTCCTTTCACCAATATCGAATCCCAAGCTAAAGAATGCTGCAATACAGGGGAAGGCATACATAAAAAATATGCAGTTTGCTGATCAAAAGTCATAAACCAATCCTGAGGTTTTAGGGAGGGAATTATAGAAGCCAGAGTGACCATCCTGAGCCCAAAGTGATAAATGAATTTGTTGAGTTGGAGATGTCATCCTCCTTTCCTTTTCAGAATGGCAATACAAACTTCTGCACCGAGCAGTAGGAGAATGACTCTCTCTTGTTTCTTGTAAGAGGAATCTCTAAAAAATGAATGGGGATGGGTGGGCAAGGCCTGAAACTGGACCAAATAACCCTGTTTGATAACTTCCAGGATCCTGCAATCCTTAATTCTAGTACAGTACCATCCTACAAAAAGAAATAAAGGAGGTTGATAAGGGACAGGTGTGCAGGGGCAGGGTGTGTGTGAGAGAGTAACAGGGTGAACAGATCTGTATAGATCAGTCCAGGACTCTTGACCGTAGAATCTATTTCTTGTCTCAGGGATGGTGATGTGTGGGTTCTAACAGAAGATAAGGTTGAGCTTCTCCTTCACTGACAGTGAGATCTTTTCTTGGGAAGCTCTGAGGACTCCTGTTGATAACAGTAAGAGAAGTTAACCTTAGCCTGGAAAAAATTTGAGGTGTAACATGCCTCCTCCTCTGGACTATACTGTAGGGGCCAAAGTGTCTTTCTATAGTCTTTCAAAAAGAGTGGAACTCTTTATCTAGATCATGACTTTCACATGAAAGGTCCTCAATTGTGATCTGACATTGTCAGCATGGATGAAACCAATATAATCTGTACAGATTAGATGGGCTGATTATGGAGCTCAACTGACATGAGCCAGAGCCGAGGAGCATGCATCAGACAGTAGATTTGATCAGCATTGGGGGGTCAGGCTTTGAAGGAGGAACTGTGGCCAAATCGGAAACAGAAGGACTCCTCAGCCTACTCTTTGATTGTACCAGGGAAGGTGATTGGTACAGTTGTTGTTTTTGACCATGGTCAGCAGGAACAACTGACTCACCTGTGGAAACCTCAACTGATCGATCATGAACTCTAGATGAGGTCTGAGGTCTTTTGGTAGCTGTCGTCCCCTGGGTGCTAGGGATAGTGTCTGAGTTTACCAGAGAACTAGCTGAATGTGGTTTAAGAGCAATTAAACCATTTTTCAACTCACAATTCTCTGAGTCAGAGATTCTCTTCATAATTTCTACTGGAATAATCAATTTCAGGCAGCATCTCAGGCTTTCTGCATCCATTCAGAGAAAGATCTACAGATGGAGCACTTGTGAAGTAGGTGGCCTTCTCTAAGGCAAAAAGTCATTTAGAATGGCCATCATTTTGGGAGTGGCCACCTCACAAGAAGGGCAGGACTTAAAGTCTAAAGACTTTGTCTTGGCCATGACATTAATGCTTTCATACCAAGTATCCTCATAGTTTCTAACTTATTTTTTGGCCCAATGGGCAAATAAAATGTTAAGTACTAAACTAATCCTAACATTAATTGAGGGAGTTATGGTTTGGCAGACCAACACTGCTGAATTCAGTCTCGCTGCCATGGGTGATAAGAGGAACTAGGAGATGGTTGGGCCTGCTTTACCCACTATGGCTTCATGTGGATTGGTGCGAGCACATGCAGGTTGAAGGGGCAGCCCCAATGAGCACTGCTGGCCAAAATAATCTGATCATCACACACACAGCGCATGCCCACCTAGAGCAGGGTCCATGTAGAAAAATACTCAAAGAACAACTTCTTGTTTCAGGAAATTGCTAGTAGGCATATGATCTGAGGAGAAGGAAAATGTATGTGGCTTCTTCACAAGTAGCTGATTTGTTTCATACGGTATATAAGCTCATGAAGATTTTTTGAGTCTGTAAACAAGCAACTTAAGAGGTGAATTGTGTGATAACTTTAAGGGAGAGAAAGACTTCGTAGAATGTTGCTGCACATATACTCTCCCCGCCCCTGCAATTTCAAAGCACTTTGGCTCAGATTTTTAAAGGTATTTAGGCACTGCTGCCCTCGACATTGTAATACCTAAGTTAGGAGCCTAAGTCTCTGTGATGGGGTGCGACTCACCATTGTGGTGCCTCCGGCTGGCTGTCTTGGGGATTAGCTCTGCTAGCCAGTGCACCCTTTTCTGGTGGTGTCTCACCGCCATCACTTCTCCTCCAGGACCCATGTCACTCCCCAAACCATGTCATTGTCTTCATGGCACAGCCCTCTGGCTGTGTCATGCTCTGTTCTCCCCCCTTCCAGGGGAACTGCAGTGCACTGTCCAGCCACTTCCCTCAGTGGCAACTGCAGCCCACTGTCTGGCCAATTCCTCATTGGTGGTGGTCGGGGGAGGGGGGTGGGAACCTGGGCCCACCCACTACTCTGGGTCATAGAATCATAGAATATCAGAGTTGGAAGGGACCTCAGGAGGTCATCTAGTCCAACCCCCTGCTCAAAGCAGGACCAAGCCCCAACTAAATCATCCCAGCCAGGGCTTTGTCAAGCCTGACCTTAAAAACTTCTAAGGAAGGAGATTCCACCACCTCCCTCGGTAACGCATTCCAGTGTTTCACCACCCTCCGAGTGAAAAAGTTTTTCCTAATATCCAACCTAAACCTCCCCCACTGCAACTTGAGACCATTACTCCTCGTTCTGTCATCTGCTACCACTGAGAACAGTCTAGATCCATCCTCTTTGGAACCCCCGTTCAGGTAGTTGAAAGCAGCTATCAAATCCCCCCTCATTCTTCTCTTCCGCAGACTAAACAATCCCAATATCCCCTTTTCTCTTTTTGAAGACTCTGTGTTTGAATAATAGTCCATCTTCTCCTCCTGCCTAACTCTATAAATGAATACTTAAGTCAAACTTCATGACCTTTTAGATACTGGACATAAAAAAAAATATGACTCAAAAAATTCAGCATGTTGAATTTACAGAAGGATCCCAGATTGGAAGAGACAGATAATAGGTTTTGTTCAAATATAAACTATTTTCTACAACACAGAAGAGTTATAAAAATGAATATTAAATATATTTCAAAATCCATGGTGTAGTTTTCCCAGTCCTTCTTTATTGGAATATGATGCCTGGTTTTCACTTAAACTGTAGATCGACCTAGCTACTTTGGGTGCGTAAAATTCACACTCCTGAACACCACTGGTAAGTCAACCCAAACCTCAATGTAAATGTGACTTGGTCAATGGAAGAACTATTTCCTTTTTGTTTAACATGTACTGTAAAATTAAATTCTCTAAGACCACAATTTTTGCTAAGTTTGGATATTTCTGGAAGTGCTTTCTTGCCTCATGAAAATAGATTATATGATCCATACAAGATTAATAAAGATTTTTAGACTGCTATAATCAGAATTTTTGCCTAGACTGAATGATTTCAGCCTAGGCAAATATCTCAGTGCTCATCAAAAAACAGAAGAGTATATTTTCAGTTAAAACTAAGTAAAATTTCTCTGCATTTATAATTTCTTTTTTATAGCATATAGGGGAATGAAATGGATTGTTAATGAGGCTGAAGGATATCGGAAAATTGTTCCGCATAGTGAGAACTGCAGAGAAAAAGACTCTTGTATCAACAGCAATGAGAATGTAGGTGTGACATTAATGACATGAACTGTGACGGTATAGATCATTGTTGCAACCAGGGTCCTATGGTGGCACCAGGTCTTGTACAGAGGAGGTCAAGTGGGGTGTCTACGGAAAGGTTGTAGTTTGCTGGTTATAATTATGCTCTCTGTATGTGTGTATCATTTTTGTATTTGATGTTATGAATACTGGCTATGTCCTTCTATCTCAATGTTTTTGATTCTAAGTAGCCTCAGTGAAGCATTTGGTCAGCTTCTTGAGAATGGGCACTTACTGAGAATAGTCCTATCAAAAAACACTTAACTGACAATGGACTTTGGGAGATGCCAGTCCACATCTGAGCTTTTCTGGGAACGTTCAAACTAACATGTAAACAATGGTGTCAGCCTACAAAAAACTGAATCACTCATAGACATGTGACTTGCCCAGGTGGCGACAAACTCCATCTTGTTGCTGTGATTTTGCACAGAAGAACAAAGGGGTTTCCGCCCACAAGAGAGAGAATATAAAAGGCTCTGAAAACCCCTCCATTTTGTCTTCAGCTCGCTTAACAGATGGCCTCTCCAGCCCAAACTGATGCTTGAAAGAAACTGGAACAAAGGACAACTACAGGGTGTAAGTGATTGCTGGACCCAGACTAGGAAGGAGTCCAGTCTGTGAAAGAAGCTTATTGGAACATCTCTGAGGGTGAGTTTCCTTCTGTATTAGTCTTAGACTTGTGTGTTTTTGTTTTATTTTGCATGGTAACTTACCTTGTTCTGTCTGTTATTACTTGGAACCACTTAAATCCTACTTTTATATTTAATAAAATCACTTTTGCTTATTAATTAACCCAGAGTAAGTAATCAATACCTGGGGGAGCAAACAGCTGTGCATATCTCTTTATCAGTGTGATAGAAGGAGAACAATTTATAAGTTTACCCTGTATAAGCTTTATACAGAGTAAAACAGATTTCTTTGGGGTTTGGATCCCATTGGGAGCTGGGTGTCTGGGTGCTAGAGACGGGAGCATTTGCTAAGCCGTTCTCAGTTAAGTCTGCGGCTTTGGGGGACGTGCTTCAGACCTGTGTTTGCAGCATGCTAGCGTGTCTGGCTCAACAAGGCAGGGTTCTGAAGTCTCAAACTGGCAGGGAGAATGGGCTTAGAGGTAGTCTCAGCACATCAGGTGGCAGTCCCAAGGGGGTCTCTGTGACAAAGTGACAGCAGACCTCTGAGGTGAGGAAAAGGAAGAGAGATAGGAAACAAGGGGGGAAAGAATACTGCTTATGAATGAGTAACATTCTTCAAAGACAACTGACTAGTTGTTTCACTTTCATATTTTCTCCCTTTTAAAAACAAAATCACCAAGTATGTGTGTGGTAATAGACCAGGGGTGGGCAAACTTTTTGGCCTGAGGGCCACATCTGGATATGGAAATTGTATGGCGGGCCATGAGTGCTCACAAAATTGGGTTTGGGGTACGGGAGGTGGTGAGGGCTCCGCGCTGGGGCCAGAAATGAAGAGTTCAGGTGTGGGAGGGGGCTCCGGGCTGGGGCAGGGGGCTAAGATATGGGGGATGGGGCTGGGGATGAGAGGTTTGGGGTGCAGGAGTGTGCTCTGGTCTGAGACTGAGGTGTTCGGAAGGTGGGAGGGGAATCAGGCCTGGGGCAGGGGGAGGAGGTTGGGGCGCAGTCTCTAGGCGGCACTTACCTCAAGTAGCTCCCGGAAGCAGTGGTATGTTCCTCCTCTGGCTCCTATGCAGAGGTGTGGCCAGGGGCTCTGCGCACTGCCCCGTCTGCAGGTGCCTCCCCTGCAGCTCCCATTGGCTGTGGTTCCCGGCCAATGGGAGCTGCGGGGGTGGCACTTGGGGCCGTGGCAGTGCACTGACCTCCCTGGCTGCCCCTACGTGTAGGAGCCGGAGGGGGGACATGCTGCATTGCCGCTGCTTCTCAGAGCCGCGTGGAGCCAACCCCCAACCCTGCTCCCTGGCTGGAGTGCCAGAGTGGGGCAAGCCCCAGACCCCACTCCCTGGCTGGACCTTAAGGGCCAGATAAAAACATTTTGGCCCGCGGGCCATAGTTTTCCCACCCCTGTAATAGACAAAACCAATCTCAAGATTATAAATTAGAGACTAACCAGAAGAAATTAGATTTTAGAAGGGACTGGAAGTTTGAATGAGATTTGAAAATAGCTAGCTACATAGAAAAGAGGCTATTCCAAGTTGGAAGACAATGAGAAAAACAGTGGGAGTCACAGAGGGAGAAACAAAGACAATATGGAAGCAGCAGGAGTGTGCAGAGAGTAAGGCGAAGAGTGGGACTATAGAGGAAATGAGAGCCGAGAAGCAAGCAAGGCGAGCTGTGTAAATGCTTAAAGTTGAAGTAATGGAGTTTGAAGCTGATAAATCATCAGAAAGCCAGTAAAAGTATTTTAGGAGTGGGGTGGAAGAACATGATCAGAGCACCAGGAAAGAGGACATTTAAGTACCCCGAGGTTAGCATGAGCAATATAACAACAAAGTAGAAGGTAGAACCACTTCAGTGAGTAATCGACAGAGCCCACTTGAGGAACAATTAATTTGTTGCTGAGGAAATGGGAACCAGTCAACATGGTGAAGCATTTAAGTGGAACTGTGTACAAGAAATGTCTGATGGAAAGAACAACAGGCAAATAAATAATTTCATTTTAATGCACTGTTACCCTGTCATAAAAGTACTACAGTTCAAGATCAAATTCTTAATTCTGGAAGGGAGTAGAGGTAATTGTATGGTTTAAAGAACTACCTTTATTCTCTTGAAACCCTGGTTTAAATGAGCAGAAATAAGTACAGTATATGAGGTGGTCTTTATCTCATCATCTACTGAATATTTATCCAAATCATAAAATCTTCATACACTCTGCCACAACTAAAAGTCTTTTTAGAAGGGGCTCAAGGTGGGAATGGAAAGGGTGAAGATCAGGTCAGCTGCATTTGTATTTTGGGAAAACTTGCACTATGGCTGACTAGAAGTAAAGTCTCTCAATCACAGCAAAAAAATAATCTTTGCTAAAATCTCCCAAATGTTAAAAGAAAAAAAAAAAAAAAAGGATATATGCTTCCTCTTATATCTAGGAAATATTTTTCCATAAGAGTATGATACCTTAGGCGTAAAATCTAGTTCTTCCTCCTCTGATGTAAGCCAGCTGTCATCCCCTTCATCTTTTTTAGAGCTTCTTAAATAACAAAAACATAAGACAATAATAAGTGGTGCGCGCTCTCTCTCTACGATTTGCTAAAATATGTTATTTTTTTTTAAATCTTACCTTACTGAATCTCCTTGGGAAAGGTCATCTATAACTGTTCAAATATTGATTAAAATAAAAAAGAAATTAATAATTTTAGCATTAAAAGCAAAAGACTTGGAAGCTGCCAAAGGTAAGTAAAAATATTTAGCATGAGCAAACCGACAAGTAATTCAAGGCTGAAACTTAGTATAGACATGTTAATCAAGGGTAGTATGAATGTAAATACATTTTCTATTATCAGTTGAAAAAATCTGTATGTTCAAAGGATGAAACAAATAAGGTCTTCAGTTTGGTAAGCACTTTTGTACTTATGTTCAAAATATGACATACAATTTAAAAATGAAACTAAGTTCCAAACAATTGGAACATAGTTAATCATTTTTGGTGGGCATGATGTGGTGAAAGGGAAGTAAAACTGCTAAGATTATAAAATTTGGAATTGTGGGCAATTCATATAAATAGAAACTTATCTTTTTTATATTTACAGTATGGGCTATACATTGACATATGCTGGACTATGTCCGCAGCACCACTCTCTTCTCTGCATTACTCTGGTAATGCACAGGGAATGGAGAGCAGTACCCTTGTGTAGGGAAATTGCCAGGTGGTGTAAAGCTGATTGGGCCTGCTCTACATCACCCACTCTTGACCCCTCTGAGTAAGGAGCATTACAGGGACAGAAAGGATGTGAGTAGAGCATGCTGCACTGAACCACACTTCGCTAGTGGAAGAGCAGTAACATGTATCAGTGGCCAAACTAGATCCATGTTTCCCCCAGGACTGGGGAGGCCAAAAGATGGTGGAAAACCACTTATGCGTCCCCATTCCCAGCTATTCCGAGGCCAGCTCTAGCACACCCAAAGATTGGGCCCATAGATTAGTCAGCAATGACTCTCTGAAGATTTTAGACGTGCTTAACTTTACAAATTGCAAGTAGTCGAATAGAAATAAATGGAACTACACACTGTTCATAAAACTAAGAACATAGTTACATGTGTGCAGGATTTGGGACTTTATCATAGTGTGATATCCAAGACATTGTAATTAGAATGAAAATGGTTGAGATTCCCCAACACCACTGACTTTAATGAGATTTGAGGGAGCTCTGGAATTTCCAGGATCAGAAAATAAATACTGTTCTATGTTCAGAAAAATTGATTTTTGATATATCATTGTGCATTAACTCATGTAATTCTTATTTTAAAAGACAAAATTAATATGCCTTTTGTGACTTTCCATGAAGAATTTTTTTTAAACTTCTTAACATGGAAATCAAATAGCAAAGCACAATTAATAGTCTTAAACAAAAGACTGATATAAACATAATAAAGTCAGGAAACTGAAAATTAACAGCAACATGTTAGTTACTTAAGCATAGGCCAAGTTCATCTCAAGGCATACATGTCCTCTGTTCTACAAACAACCAAACAAAATACAAATAAACTTGTTTTACTATGACAGTAATTATATTCTTCATAACTCCAGAATGCTGGTACACTGATGATTATTTTTTCATAATCTGAGCAGAAGTTTCATATTTTGCCTTACTCTTTGCACCTACTGTGTCATTTTTGCTCGACAGGCCTGAATGGTTGTAACTTCAACTCTGGGCATAGATGAAACACTGAAAAAATTCTGATTAGCAAGAATAAGAATAAGAGGTAAGTGCAAATATTTTTAATGAATTTTGACCTTTTCTCCAAAAGAGTAACTCTCAAAAACAATCATTTCCCCAAATTTTTTTTTCCATTTTAAAAATATTTTTATTATAAAAATACTATACTCTTAACGCGGCAGAAGAGTCTGTCCTATCTCAGGGCCTCTCCTTTTGTCCCTCCAGGCCCACGAACATGATACAGTTCTGTGGTGACCTAGAATCCTACTTTCGACGTCTCCGACTCAAAGAATATTTCCAACACACCTCTGAACAACATACTAACCCACTAACCCCTTCCTACCAACACTACAAAAAGAAGGATTCTAGGTGGACTCCTCCTGAAGGTCGAAACAACATTCTGGACTTCTACACAGATTGCTTCCGTCGACGTGCAGAGGCTGAAATTGTGGAAAAGCAGCATCACTTGCCCCATAACCTCAGTCGTGCTGAACACAATGCCATCCACAGCCTCAGGAACAACTCTGACATCATAACCAAAAAGGCCGACAAAGGAAGTGCTGTCGTCATCATGAATAAGTTGGAATATGAACAAGAGGCTGCTAGGCAGCTCTCTAACTCCACATTCTACAGACCATTATCCTCTGATCCGACTGAGGATTACCAAAAGAAACTACACCATCTGCTCAAGAAACTCCCTGAAAAAGCACAGAAACAGATCTGTGCAGACACATGCCTAGAACCCCGACCAGGGGTATTCTATTTGCTACCCAAGATCCATAAACCTGGAAATCGTGGACGCCCCATCATCTCAGGCATTGGCACTCTAACAGCAGGATTGTCTGGCTAAGTGGACTCTTTCCTCAGGCTCTACACTACCAGCACTCCCAGCTATCTTCGAGACACCACTGACTTCCTGAGGAAACTACAATCCATTGGTGATCTTCCAGAAAACACCATCCTGGCCACTATGGATGTAGAAGCCCTCTACGCCAACATTCCACACAAAGATGGATTACAAGCTATCAGGAACGGTATCCCCGATAATGTCACGGTAAACCTGGTGGCTGAACTTTGTGACTTTGTACTCAACCACAACTATTTCACATTTGGGGACAATATATACCTTCCAGTCAGCGGTACTGCCATGGGTACCCGCATGGCCCCACAGTATGCCAACATTTTTATGGATGACTTAGAACGACGCTTCCTTAGCTCTCATCCCCTAATGCCCCTACTCTACTTGCACTACATTGATGACATCTTCATCATCTGGACCCATGGAAAAGAAGCCCTTGAGGAATTCCACCATGATTTCAACAATTTCCATCCCACCATCAACCTCAGCCTAGACCAATCCACACAAGCGGTCCATTTCCTGGACACTACTGTGCTAATAAGCGATGGTCACATAACCACCACCCTATACTGGAAACCTACTGACCGCTATACTTATCTACATGCCTCCAGCTTCCATCCAGGACATACCACACGATCCATTGTCTACAGCCAAGCTCTAAGATACAACCGCATTTGCTCCAATCCCTCAGACAGAGACAAATACCTAAAAGATCTCTATCAAGCATTCTTAAAACTACAATACCCACCTGCTGAAGTGAAAAAACAGATTGACAGAGCCAGAAGAGTACCCAGAAGTCACCTACTACAGGACAGGCCCAACAAAGAAAATAACAGAACGCCACAAGCTGTCACCTTCAGCCCCCAACTAAAACCTCTCCAGCGCTTCATCAAAGATCTACAACCTATCCTGTAAAATGATCCCTCACTCTCACAGATCTTGGGAGACAGACCAGTCCTCGCTTACAGACAGCCCCCCAACCTGAAGCAAATACTCTCCAGCAACCACACACCACACAACAAAAACACTAACCCAGGAACCTATCCTTGCAACAAAGCCCGATGCCAACTCTGTCCACATATTTATTCAAGTGACACCATCATAGGACCTAATCACATTAGCCACGCCATCAGGGACTTGTTCACCTGCACATCTACCAATGTGATATATGCCATCATGTGCCAGCAATGCCCTTCTGCCATGTACATTGGCCAAACCAGACAGTCTCTACGCAAAAGAATAAATGGACACAAATCTGACATCAGAAACGATAACATTCAAAAACCAGTAGAAGAACACTTCAACCTCTCTGGCCACTCAGTAGAAGACTTAAGGGTGGCAATTCTGCAACAGAAAAGCTTCAAAAACAGACTCCAAAGAGAAACTGCTGAGCTTGAATTAATATGCAAACTAGATACCATGAACTTGGGTTTGAATAGACACTGGGAGTGGCTGGGTCATTACACATATTGAATCTATTTCCCCATGTTAAGTATCCTCACACCTTCTTGTCAACTGTCTAAATGGGCCATCTTGATTATCACTACAAAAGTTTTTTTCTCCTGCTGATAATAGCTCATCTTAATTAATTAGCCTCTCACAGTTTGTATGGTAACTTCCACCTTCTCTGTATGTGTGTGTGTGTGTGTGTATATATCTATCTATCTATCTTCTTACTATATGTTCCATTCAGTGCATCTGCTGAAGTGGGCTGTAGCCCAAAAAAGTTTATGCTCTAATAAATGTGTTAGTCTCTAAGGTGCCACAAGGACTCCTGGTTTTTTTTGCGGATACAGACTAACACGGCTGCTACCCTGAAACCTATAATGTAGTTTGTTGGTTGTTCTTAAAAATGTTTCTTTTTTGCACTGCAATTTTGATCAGTCTTTTAGTCACATTATGCCTTTAAAAAAATCAGAAGTTTTATTTACAAAAGTTGACTTCAAAAACAAAATATTTTTTTAAAATGACAGAGAAAATTTAATTTTTGATTGTTTTTTCCAAAAGATTATAGTACACACAAACAAAAAATCCTGATTTTGCACGAATTCCCATAAATTATGTATTTTTAACCAATTTGTCTCTTTATTGAAGGAGAAAGGGCAGCTATGAAGTAGAAAGTCTTGACTAATGGGTTCCACTTCTGTTGGGAGTCTATTATTATTGTTGCAATCCATTTATTTAAATTGAAAATGTTCTCAATTCTTGATGGTTACCTATAATTGTTACATATTTTACAACAATAATGAATTATGATTTTTCTTTAGAAGATAAGAAACAAATTCATGCTGCAAGTTTTGGGTGTTTCAGACACCCTTGCATTTGGTTTGGACCAGCCATAAAGTGTTTGATCTAAATCCAAACTGTATTTGAGGGTTGCTCATATCCACTGTTTTGACTCAGGCCCATCTCAAGTTTGTAGTAATATCAAATTAATAGGTGTAAATAAGAACACCCTATTACTTAATGTCACGCTACAACACACATTAACACACAACATTCTGCACTCTTACATGACGAATGCCAGAACTGACTAATTAGTTCTTAAATATTTGCAAAACAACAAAAGCTATAACATCACCACCACAAAAAACAATTTAAAAAGTAAAATCAAGCCATTAAAGGACTTTTGAATTCACACAAAAATAATAACCATCAAACATGTATAAACACTTGAATTTGGTATTTTCACATTGGAAGTCTTATTGTATGGAATACCTTTCCCTGAATCTCTTGTTCTTGATGTCTGGCTGGGAGACTGTTGCATTTCTATTTCCATTTAGGGAAAGGCATGGAAAGGACAGATGAAACAATGAAATCAGAAAATAAAGTTGTAAAGCAGAAACATACATATATGAAGATGAAACAAAGAAATACACAACTACTGACTGTTATTAATCTATTGAGCAATTATGATAGTGCTGAAAACAAACAAGAAATGCTACTTGTTTAGACTCTTAATACCGTGCCAATAAGTTTAATTTTCATCTTATTCTCCATAATCTGAAATACCCTCAATTCAATATTAAAACAAAAACATTTCTCTATCAGGATCTGTACTTTACTACTGGCAATCTCTAATCCCTGCCTCCCTGAACTCATGTGATTCTAGTCTGTCACAAACTATTTTATTATGTTTCTATAAGCACCCATTCCTTGTACTGCAGGTATGTTTATTTTCACCATATACATGGAATGCAGGGAAACCATCAGTGCAGTACAATAAAGTTTGCCTGCTGGAGGGCCTAAAGTCCCTTCACAAATACTGTGCTCCAAAGCTGCTGATGTGTCTGTGCCAGCAAGCTAAATATGTGAGCTCCATAGTCCAGAGGATCCCATGCATAGGTCTCCGGCACTTTGGATCAGGGCACATTCTCTAGTTGTGACATGGTTTGAGACCAGTTCCCCATAGGCATGGTTAAGTATGTTTCTAATACTTGCTAATAAAGTTGTAGCTTTAAGGCAGCTCACCTTAAAATAGCGTCTCTTATTTGTGCACTCCTGAAATAATAAAAAGACCTACCTATTGTCCTAAATCTGGGCCTGGAGGGGATCCTCTTTACATATATTGGTCCATGACCCATGTGAAAATGGTGAGAGAATTCCTCCTACTCCAGACCCACAAGTGGGAAGAGTGAACAGTGTGTGGAGAGGTGTGGTGGGGACAGGGGCAGGACACACACTGACCTCCAATTTCACAGGAATTAGTCTGAAAAAAGTAATTCATACTGGAGCTATATTAGTTTTCTGAGAATGCTCCATGCTGTGGAAAAAACTCCAGAGGTAGCCATAAGCAGAAATCAGAATGAGGCAACTATCCCAGAGCCAATGCAGGGGCTCTGCACTTCCACACAAAAGACCCTATGACTCTGCTACAACCCCAAGGTCTATGCAAACCTGAGGGGAAACCATGGACTGAACGTCTCATGAGTGGGGAGGTGCGGGCAGATGAAATTCAGAAGAAACACCACCAGGTTCCCTCACAGGCCTTTCTTCCCCATGCCTCTGCAGTGGGTTTTCCCACGGAAAGGGAAAACTGGCCAACGTTAGTTACTTCATCAATTACCGTAACTGCAGTTGCAGATATAGCAGGGGAACATGACCATGCTATTTGGCAAGCACTATAAACATGATGCCCTTTCAAAGTTATATTTTTTCTTTGACAGAGCAGTGAACTTTGAATTTAGAATCTGGTAATTATCTTGTGACTAATCTACTTGACAGTCTTTTTAAAAGAGACTAAACAGTTAAATAAGGAAAAAATAAGGGACATTAATAGGGCCCTACCAAATACACAGCCCTTTTGGTCAATTTCAGTCATAGGATTTTAAAAATCATAAATTTCATGTTTTCTGATATTTAAATCTGAAATTTCACGGTGTTGTAACTGTGGGAGTGCTGACCCAACTCTGATGGCAGCAGCGCAGAAGTAAAGGGTAGCATGGTATGACCCTGCCACTCTTTACTTCTGTGCTGCTGCTGGCAGCATGCAGCCTTCAGAGCTGGATGCCTGGCCAGCAGCCACTCTCTGGCCTCCCAGCTCTGAAGGCAGTGCAGAAGGAAGGGTGGCAATACTGCATCCCCACTACAATAACATTGCAACCCACACCGCCCATGACCCTCTTTTGGGTTGGGACCCCCAATTTGAGAAACGTTGGTCTTCCCCATTAAATCTGTATAATAAAGACCAGATTTCACAGGGGAGACCAGATTTCACAGTTGTGATGCATTTTTCACAGCCGTGAATTTGGTACACATTAAGGATCCCAAAAATAAACAAAATAAATAATGTTTACTGGCTCTGAGATAAAGTAGTGCCTAATCAATCACAATTTGTAAAACATTAGCTTAATTTACATTACAAAATATTAAAAATTAGCAAAATTTGTCATGACCTGTACACGGTTTGTATTCTAATCAAATATTTTTTTGCCCAAATGGAGTTTTTACTGAATCTGGCAATGATGAATCAAAACAGTACATTTAAGAACTGTTTTGATAAAAATTTAAAACATTAAAACAGACATGCTAAAATGCAAAAAGAATTTCAAGTTTTCTGAACATCTTTTCCAACAAGAAGGGCAAAAGGGTAGAAGAATGTAAGGAAATAAATAAATGTAAGGAAATAAAGTGGCATGCAAGGGCATTTTTTGGTCTTTGAACCTCATCAATTTTTTCTCTAATTCCTAATATGCTTTCTTCCCCCACAAAATCTTTTAATTAAACTACAGCCACTCTACTTTCCACATATTTTACAGAGTATAGCTCTTAAAGAGAAATATTAAAATCTCATTCCGTTTTATTTCTTTTAATTAAGGTCATCTGTCCAGGAAAATAAAAAGGAAGTTTTCTGATCCTACAACCACTTGTGCTGGCTTGCCAGTATAGTGCAGTTTCTGGACCTTAAAGAAGTTTAAAAATGTGTGAGCTGGTTGGGGAAAAATGTAATTTTTTTTAACCATTTTGTCCAATTTATGTTTTGATTATCATTTTCCCTTACCTTACAAATGAGAATGACCATGATGTACAAAGTTAAGGCCCAAACTGTTTTAAGTGTTCACTAATTTGGGGTACTTCAGTTCTTAAATGCCCAACTTGAGATACGTATGGTTGATTTTCAGGTATATTGTATGCTCAGAGCTCTCCTTGTCTTAAGACTAATGACATCCATGCAAGAAAGCAGGCACTTAAAAAAGGTAGGTGTTGAAACACCACCTAGACACCTGACCAGACCCAGCTGGAAAGCAGGGTGTAGATAAGAAAGGATACAACAATGAGGCATCATTGGGATCCAGAAAAGAGACAGAACAACAGCTGATGAAGCAAACTCCTGTGGGGAGCTCCTCTGACAAACTTGGTCAAAAAAACCTACATGGCTGTTTTTAGAACAGTATTTAAAGTAGGTTTCAGAGTAACAGCCGTGTTAGTCTGTATTCGCAAAAAGAAAAGGAGTACTTGTGGCACCTTAGAGACTAACCAATTTATTTGAGCATAAGCTTTCGTGAGCTACAGCTCACTTCATCGGATGCATAGTGCCCTAAAATAACCTTGCGACATAGTGCATCCGATGAAGTGAGCTGTAGCTCACGAAAGCTTATGCTCAAATAAATTGGTTAGTCTCTAAGGTGCCACAAGTATTCCTTTTCTTTTATTTAAAGTAGGTAGAGGGTGGTGCTCAACAGCTAGTAAGGACCTAGCTCCTGATCCAACCTACAAAGGCCAAAAAAACCTTTAGAGAAAGGGGAGGTTTATCAGCCCTGAGATAAGGAATCCTGCAAAGTGTTTCTTTAAAGAAACTTTCTTTATTCATTACTAACAACTGTTTGCAAACAGAGAAAGGCAAAGAAAGAAGAAACAAGGAAGAGAGAACCACAGCCCTTCACTACAATAAAGACTTGGTGCTTGAAACACAGCAGCCTCAGAATGGCTAATGAGTAAGGCCCTAACAAATTCATGGCCATGAAAAACGCATCACAGACCATGAAATCTGGTCTCCTCCAGTGAAATCTGGTCGTTTGTGTGCTTTTTCCCAATACTATACAGATTTCATGGGGGAAAACCAGTGTTTCTCAAATTGGGAGTCCAGATCCAAAAGGGAGTTGCAGGAGGGTCGCAAGGTTATTTTACGGAGGTCGCAGTATTGCCACCCTTACTTCTGCACTGCCTTCAGAGCTGGGTGGCCAGAGAGCGGTGGCTGCTGACTGAGGCCCCAGCTCTGCAGGCAGCAGCGCAGAAGTAAGGGTGGCAATACCATACCATGCCATTCTTACCTCTGCACTGCTGCTGCAGGCAGCAACTCTACCTTCAGAGCTAGGATACCCGCCAGCAGCCACCGGTTTCCAGCTGCCCAGCTCTGAAGGCAGCACCACCGCCAGTGCAGAAGTAAGGGAAGCAGTACTGCAACCCCAACTATAATAACCTTGCGACTCCTCCAAAACTCCTTTTTGGGTCAGGACCTCTACACTTACCACACCTTGAAATTTCAGATTGAAATAGCTGAAATTATGAAATTTATGATTTTTTAAATCCTATGACAGTGAAATTGACCAAAATGGACCGTGAGATTTCCTGCATATACAAGAATATGACAAACTGCTGATCTAATAGCATATTCTCCACTAAGGACAAATGGTGAAATTACCTCCTTTTATTTTCATTGAAAAGACTTCAAAAGCCAAATTCCAATCTCTTATAGGAAGCATGTTAGATCCCAATTCCTGATTATTCTGGCTTTGCAACAGTGTGAATGATCCTGAGTAAGCAGAACAGGATCCATGCCTGTTTTCCAGTCACAATTGCCAGAGCTGCTCAGGAGCCCAAGAACTCAAATAAACTTCACATCTCCAGACAACCCTTCTGCGTCTGCACAGGTCAGTGCCATCACACACCTGCACTAACCACTTCAGAGATCCAACATTAGGAGAGAAGTGGTCCAGGGAGATTATTTAAGTGCCATCACAACCAAAGAAGAAAAAAGAACCTTTGAGACCTGGGCTCAGGAAATTGGGGGGATGGTATATTCTTCCCTGAGCCTTTTTCTCTCAGCTGTAATGTTTTTATTCAGGTATGTACAGTTCGATAAGTCTTCACTCATGTTCTGTTTATCTGTAACAGCAATACCAGGTGGTTCCACAGATGACAATAATTGCCCAGGAGATGGAGGTGTTATTTGGCCCAATTGTTCACCCTTTCCTCCCAGCCAGTAGCTCCATTTTCGAACTATAAGATGGTACTGTTCTTTGAGCCACACAAACTCCATGTGTGACTGTCAGCCATGAGACCTGTCACTACAGGATCAGTAGGCATGTGCACTGCTTTTTGCCGTCAAACCCTCAAGGTCAGGAGCCACGTCACAGTCTTTTGGGAGGGAGCTACAATTTGATTTGTGTGTGGGTGGTGTGTGGAGCCCGTAAACACAAGATTTAATTCTTCAAGATACCAGCACACATAGTACTCCACATACAGAATCAGGCAGGATCAAGGAGTTCAGCTCTATGCCACTGAGCAGGCCTGGAACAAGATTTGGCCCTAAATTTGGTTTAGTCTTTTGGGAAGGAAAAAGGAGAGCAAGGGTGACCCTGTTGTGTTTTGCTTTGCTCACACACTTCCTCAAAATTTTCAAAAATTGTGTGATTTGCTGCATTTGAATGATATCAGCTCTGTCCACTCACCACATTATTACCATTTACAGATTATGTATTAATATCATTAACAATATGAAATCTTAATTTAAAATAATAAACCTGAGTGATTTATATTGCTTGTACTTTACATGGAAAAGGGGGATTTCAAGGTGGGAAAATAAGTTTTGTTTATGGAATCTATTTCTAGTGCGTGAGAGGCTTGTAGCTGTAGATTAGATTTTGTAAATTCCTTAATAAATTCTTTTGCCATATAAAGATATTTAATATAATTTCCTGATCATGTAACTATTCATAATTTGTGTTTCTACTCAGTGCATTACTTGACTAAATTAAACATTAGTTTACAAAATGATATGTAAGAATCAAAAACAAAGCAAAGCTCTATCCAACAATGTACCTAATTATTTTAAAGGACATAAGTATACACAGAAAATGTATTTTTGCTGTTTATGAGTTTGTTTACACAAAGCCATAATACTTTGCAATATCATAAAAACCTCACAACAGCTTAGTTATGACAGAAACAGAAAACTGTGACTGAAGGTGACAAATAAAAGTTAACCCACTCTTTCTATTTTAAACATCCTACTTAAGGTTGCACATATATACGCACACACAAATTCAGTGGAAGCCAAATATAGAGCCATGTGTTCTTATACTGAATTATTTATCACTTCCTTACTGCAGAAAGAAGAAATCGCTTGACTTAAAGTATGGATTAATCTGCAGTTTCCTGTAAGCGGATTCACCACATCAGAAGTGAATAGGCAGCAGGAAAAATTATTTGCCTGAACAAATATAATATTTCAGTTCGCATTTTTTTTTAAACAGCAGTATTTTTTGGTATTGTCAAGGTTCCTCCCCCACTCTGAACTCTAGGGTACAGATGTGGGGACCTGCATGAAAAACCTCCTAAGCTTATCTTTACCAGCTTAGGTCAAAACTTCCCCAAGGTACAAAATATTCCACCCGTTGTCCTTGGACTGGCCGCTACCACCACCAAACTAATACTGGTTACTGGGGAAGAGCTGTTTGGACGCGTCCTTCCCCCCAAAATACTTCCCAAAACCTTGCACCCCACTTCCTGGATAAGGTTTGATAAAAAGCCTCACCAATTTGCCTAGGTGACTACAGACCCAGACCCTTGGATCTTAAGAACAATGAACAATCCTCCCAACACTTGCACCCCCCCCTTTCCTGGGAAATGTTGGATAAAAAGCCTCACCAATTTGCATAGGTGACCACAGACCCAAACCCTTGGATCTGAGAACAATGAAAAAGCAGTCAGTTTTTTACAAGAAGACTTTTAATAAAAAATAGAAGTAAATAGAAATAAAGAAATCCCCCCTGTAAAATCAGGATGGTAGATATCTTACAGGGTAATTAGATTCAAAAACATAGAGAACCCCTCTAGGCAAAACCTTAAGTTACAAAAAAGATACACAGACAGAAATAGTTATTCTATTCAGCACAATTCTTTTCTCGGCCATTTAAAGAAATCATAATCTAACACATACCTAGCTAGATTACTTACTAAAAGTTCTAAGACTCCATTCCTGTTCTGTCCCTGGCAAGAAGCAGCATACAGACAGAGACAGACCCTTTGTTTCTCTCCCTCCTCCCAGCTTTTGAAAGTATCTTGTCTCCTCATTGGTCATTTTGGTCAGGTGCCAGCGAGGTTACCTTTAGCTTCTTAACCCTTTACAGGTGAGAGGAGCTTTCCCCTGGCCAGGAGGGATTTCAAAGGGGTTTACCCTTCCCTTTATATTTATGACAGGTATATATCCTAGTGAGATCTGGTGGGGAGGAGGCTGGAATCCTTTGGCAGATAGATCACAACCAGCCACAGGAGATGCAACAAGAATCTGCTGAGATCCATAGCCAACTAACGAGAGAAGTACAAAACTTCCTAGGTTGGTCACTCTCTTTCCTTCGCTGGATGATTAAAAACAGTTTTAACAAGGCATGTGTGAGTAAAATAGTTATTGACTCTTCATTTAATTGAATTTTTTTAACAATCCTACCTTCTTTATCTGTAGCAGGTGCACCCAAAGCAAAACCAACATCTCCAACCCTGTCTGGACTGCTAAACACCGACATTCCTTTTGTATTGTTTGGAGAAGGTTTTTCTACATTTTTCCAGTTGGCATACTCAGAAAGTTGTTTACTAAGACTACCCATAGAAAGAAAGAAAGAAAACACATTAGGGAAATAGTAATGTGACATTTAAATATATCATATTTACTATAACAATAACATCCATTAATTATTCATGGTGAGGTTTAAAAGGATAAAGAAAAGGAGTACTTCTGGCACCTTAGAGACTAACCAATTTATTTGAGCATAAGCTTTCATGAGCTACAGCTCACTTCATAGGATGCATACTGTGGAAAGTATAGAAGATCTTTTATACACACAAAGCATGAAAAAATGGGTGTTTACCACTACAAAAGGTTTTCTCTCCCCCCACCCCACTCTCCTGCTGGTAATAGCTTATCTAAAGTGATCACTCTCCTTACAATGTGTATGATAATCAAGGTGGGCCATTTCCAGCACAAATCCAGGGTTTAACAAGAACGTCTGAGGAGGGCAGGGAGGCGCAGGAAAAAACAAGGGGAAATAGGTTACCTTGCATAATGACTTAGGCTTGAATAGAGACTGGGAGTGGCTAAGTTAATTGTATCCAATTTGCAAATGAATTCCAATTTAACAGTTTCTCGCTGGAGTCTGGTTTTGAAGTTTTTTTGTTGTAATATCGCAACTTTCATGTCTGTAATCGCGTGACCAGAAAGATTGAAGTGTTCTCCGACTGGTTTATGAATGTTATAATTCTTGACATCTGATTTGTGTCCATTTATTCTTTTACGTAGAGACTGTCCAGTTTGACCAATGTACATGGCAGAGGGGCATTGCTGGCACATGATGGCATATATCACATTGGTGGATGTGCAGGTGAATGAGCCTCTGATAGTGTGGCTGATGTGATTAGGCCCTGTGATGGTGTCCCCTGAATAGATATGTGGGCACAGTTGGCAACGGGCTTTGTTGCAAGGATAGGATCCTGGGTTAGTGGTTCTGTTGTGTGGTATGTGGTTGCTGGTGAGTATTCGCTTCAGGTTTGGGGGGCTGTCTGTAGGCAAGGACTGGCCTGTCTCCCAAGATTTGTGAGCGTGTTGGGTCATCCTTCAGGATAGGTTATAGATCCTTAATAATGCGTTGGAGGAGTTTTAGTTGGGGGCTGAAGGTGACGGCTAGTGGCGTTCTGTTGTTTTCTTTGTTAGGTCTGTCCTGTAACCTACTACAGGACAGGCCTAACAAAGAAAATAACAGAATGCCACTAGCCGTCACCTTCAGCCCCCAACTAAAACTCCTCCAACGCATTATTAAGGATCTACAACCTATCCTGAAGGATGACCCAACACGCTCACAAATCTTGGGAGACAGGCCAGTCCTTGCCTACAGACAGCCCCCCAAACCTGAAGCGAATACTCACCAGCAACCACATACCACACAACAGAACCACTAACCCAGGATCCTATCCTTGCAACAAAGCCCGTTGCCAACTGTGCCCACATATCTATTCAGGGGACACCATCACAGGGCCTAATCACATCAGCCACACTATCAGAGGCTCATTCACCTGCACATCCACCAATGTGATATGTGCCAGCAATGCCCCTCTGCCATGTACACTGGTCAGACTGGACAGTCTCTACGTAAAAGAATAAATGGACACAAATCAGATGTCAAGAATTATAACATTCATAAACCAGTCGGAGAACACTTCAATCTCTCTGGTCACGCGATTACAGACATGAAAGTTGCGATATTACAACAAAAAAACTTCAAAACCAGACTCCAGCGAGAGACTGTTGAATTGGAATTCATTTGCAAATTGGATACAATTAACTTAGGCTTGAATAGAGACTGGGAGTGGCTAAGTCATTATGCAAGGTAACCTATTTCCCCTTGTTTTTTCCTACAAACACCCCCCCCCCCCCAGACGTTCTTGTTAAACCCTGGATTTGTGCTGGAAATGGCCCACCTTGATTATCATACACATTGTAAGGAGAGTGATCACTTTAGATAAGCTATTACCAGCAGGACAGTGGGGTGGGGGGAGAGAAAACCTTTTGTAGTGGTAAACACCCATTTTTTCATGCTTTGTGTGTATAAAAGATCTTCTATACTTTCCACAGTATGCATCCGATGAAGTGAGCTGTAGCTCATGAAAGCTTATGCTCAGATAAATTGGTTAGTCTCTAAGGTGCCACAAGTACGCCTTTTCTTTTTGCGAATACAGACTAACACGGCTGTTACTCTAAAACCTTTAAAAGGATAATGTACAATATTTCACCGTATTAGAGGCTATTTTTAAATTTTTAATTGTAAACTGTACCATTTTAAATATATATTTTAATAATCTAGATACCTAACCTGCAATCTGATCTGCATTGGCAGACCGTTAAACATGCATGGAGTTACACTGATGTCAATGCAGCTCCTCAAATACAGATCAAATTGCAGGATAATAATCTTGGTGTGATGGGATTTTCTTGGTGTGAGTTAAGAGAGAATGTGGATAAAAATTTTCCAGAGCATGTAATTGATTTTTATTGGGATTTAGGCACTTTTGAAACCTTTAGGGAATTAAAGCATAAAGACTTTCTAATGTTTAAAAAAAAAAAAGGTCAAACAAACCTAAACTATTTATTTAGAAAGTATTAACAGGTTTGCAAGTCTTTTCCATGTAAATATCAGAAACAATACAATAATCATTACAATAGTGAGCTTTTGTTTAAAGATATATTATACAGGAATGTAGTTATCAGATATCTCTATTTAACATGGTGTTACCATATTACAGAGTATCATTACAACACCTATGACATGCTGTTCCTAATGACTATTAAATTGAGTGAAATCTCTGATGACACATATTTAACGGACCAGGCATGTCTACCAAATCTTAATATTTGAAAAAAATTACAGGTGTGGTGGGGGTGTTATGCAGCTGAATAAATGTACTTGAATAAAAAGGTATACAAATATCTAAGTATCTATTTGTTCTCTATTTTGCTGGGTACATAATTAGTGTTAATTTTTCATAACAACCACCTCTCATATTTTTTGAACCATTCCTCTATGGTTGGACTATTTTTGTTTTTTCCAAGGAGAGACTATCAGTAGCCAAGCAGCTACTAGCAGATGAGAGATTAATTGTTCATTTCCTTCAGTGTGATCATTTCCGCAAGAATCTCCAGGAGGACTACCAAAGTATCATTTGGTAATAAATATCCAACAATATGTGATATTTGCTTACAGATTGCATTCCTATACTCTCTAATGACTGGACATGTCCACAATATATACATAAAATCTCCTCTTTCACCATAATTTATCCAACTTTATCCCAATCTCTCTATATTTTTTATCTGACTGGTGTGAGATAACACTGAAACAGTAATTCAAAGGAAATTTCTTTCATTGTGCTTCAGACTGAGGATGCTGATCCTCTTTTGCAGATCAAACCCCATTCCTCTGGGGTAATTTGCCTACCCCAGTCCTTTTTCTAGTGTGTTATATATATACTTTTTTTTTCCCTTTTTTTTTTTTTTTTTAAAAGGAAAGCTGTCTGCAAAGATATAAATTAGGGCTGTCAATGAATCGCAGTTAACTCACGCAATTAACTGAAAAAATAAATCGTGATTTAAAAAATTAATCGTGATTAATCACAGTTTTAATTGCATTGTTAAACAATAGAATACCAACTGAAAATTTATTAAATTTTTGGATGTTTTTCTACATTTTCAAATATATTGACTTCAATTACAACACAGAATACAAAGCGTACACTACTCATTTTATATTATTTTTGTTTACAAATATTTGCACTGTAAAAATGATAAACAAAAGAAACCATATTTTTCAATTCACCTCATACAAGTACCACAGTGCAATCTCTTTATCATGAAAGTGCAACTTACAAATGAAGGGTTTTTTTGGTTACATAACTGCACTCAAAAACAAAACAATGTAAAACTTTAGAGCCTACAAATCCACTGAGTCCTACTTCTCATTCAGCCAATCGCTCAGACAAACAAGTTTGATTACATTTACAGGAGATAATGCTGCCCACTTCTTATTTACATTTTCACGAGAAAGTGAGAACAGGCATCCTCATGGGACTTTTGTAGCTGGCATTACAAGGTATTTACATGCCAGGTATGTGAAACGTTCATAGGCCCCTCCATGCTTCTGTCACCATTCCAGAGGACATACTTCCATGCTGATGATGGTCATTAAAAAAATAATGCATTAATTAAATTTGTGACTGAACTCTTTGGGGGAGAACTGTATGACTCCAGCTCTATTTTACCCGAATACTGCCATATATTTCATGTTACAGTAGTTTCAGATGATGACTCAGCACATATTCATTTTAAGAACACTTTCGCTGCAGATTTGACAAAACGCAAAGAAGGTACCAACGTGAGATTTCTAAATATAGATACAGCACTCAACCCCAGGTTTAAGAATCTGAAGTGTCTTTCGATATCTGAGAGGGACGAGGTGTGGAGTATGCTTTCAGAAGTCTTAGAAGAGCAACACTCCGATGCGGAAACTATAGAACCCGAACCACTAAAAAAGAAAAATCAACCTGCTGCTGGTGGCATCTGACTCAGATGATGAAAATGAACATGCATCAGTCCGCACTGCTTTTGATTGTTATTGAGCAGAACCTGTCATCAGCATGGACCCATGTCCTCTGGAATTGTGATTAAAGCATGAAGGCACATATGAATCTTAAGCCCATCTGGCATGTAAACATCTTGTGACACCAGCTACAACAGGGCCATGAGAACACCTGTTCTCACTTTCAGGTGACACTGTGAACAAGAAGCAGGCAGCATTATCTCCTGTAAATGTAAACAAACTTGTTTGTCTGAGCGATTGGCTGAACAAGAAATAGGACTGAGTGGACTTTGTGACAGTTTGCCTGCTCCCCCCTACCCCCTCGCATGCCACCAGATGTGTTGGGATGCCACTGAGTCAGCCTATTCTGCCAGCCTGGGTCCCCTTTATCTGGTCTTGCTGGGCTAGGCTCACAAACCTCTTCCAGCCAAGCACACAGGCAGGGCCACACCCAGCTGCACAGAGAGACAGAGATCTGCTCTAGAAAGATTCAGCCTTAGGGACTTGCCCCAGCACTCTGGTGCCCACTCCCTTAATGGGGTACAAACCCAAAGGTTTTACGAAATTCGCCCTCTCCCTCAATGTGGAGGGAGATATGCACAACTGCTTCCCCCCACCCCATTAGAAATTACATAAACTGGGTTATATTATAAACAAGAAATAAGTTTATTAACTACAATCGGTGAATTTTAAGTGGTAAAGCGATAGCAAACAGAACAAAGCAGATTACCAAGCAAATAAAACAAAGCACACAAACTAAGCTTGATGCACTAAAGAAACTGGTTACAAATAGTAATTCCTCACCCTAGATATTGTCTTAGGTAGATTCCTTCACAGGCCATGTATCTTTCCAGCCTGGGTCAAGCAGTTCTATACATACACCCCCCCCTCATTCCAGTCCTTTTGTTTCCAGCCATTTTCAAGTATCTCTTTGGGCAGGGAGGCAGAGGAGAAATGAACTGAAGACCTTGATTGTTTTCCTCTCTCACCTTATATAGGATTTCCATAAGGCAGGAATCCTTTGATTTCTCCACCTCCCAGTGGAAACGTTCAGCAGTCCAAGATGGAGTTTAGTATCAGGTGACCAGGTCACCTGACTCTGTAGTGTCACAGCGTCCATGAGTCAGTGGCAGTAGGGAGCGTCCACAGGAAGGCCAAGCCTTTTCACAGTCCACTGTCCACGCTGACGGGCCATCAGCCCTGTCTGGCTTTTCCATTGCTATACCTGAAGTGTTAGCAGTGGGTGTCACCCAAAGTAGCATAGTTGATATACAGATACATAGTCAATATTCCTAACTTCATATACAGAAATGATACAGGCATACAAATTGGATAAACACATTCAGTAAATTATAACCTTTCCAATGATACCTTACAAGACCCATCTAGCATAAAGTACATCTCAGTTATATCATATTCATAACATAAGCATATTTTGATAAGAATATGGAGTGCAACATCACAGCATTGTTGGCTCTGAAGTTTTACATTGTTTTATTTTTTAATGCAGGGTTTTTTTTGGTACATAATTCTACATTTGTAAGTTCAAGTTTTATTATAAAGAGATTGCACTCAGTACTTGTATTAGGTGAATTGAAAAATACTATTTGTTTTGGTTTACAGTGCAAATATTTGTAATAAAAAATATAAAGTGAGCACTTTACACTTTGTATTCTGCGTTATAATTGACCACAGGATGACTATGAGCTGCCAATGTGATATGGCCATGAAAAAAGCTAATGTGGTCTTGGGATGCATCAGGCGAGGAATTTCCAGTAGAGATAAGGAGGTGTTAGTACCATTATACAAGGCACTGGTGAGACATCATCTGGAATACTGTGTGCAGTTCTGGTCTCCCATGTTTAAGAAGGATGAATTCAAACTGGAACAGGTACAGAGAAGGGCTACTAGGATGATCCGAGGAATGGAAAACCTGTCTTATGAAAGGAGACTTAAGGCGCTTGGCTTGTTTAGCCTAACCAAAAGAAGGCTGAGGGGAGATATGATTGCTCTCTATAAATATATCAGAGGGATAAATACCGGAGAGGGAGAGGAATTATTTAAGCTCAGTACCAATGTGGACACAAGAACAAATGGATATAAACTGGCCATTGGGAAGTTTAGACTTGAAATTAGACGAAGGTTTCTAACCATCAGAGGAGTGAAGTTCTGGAACAGCAGGGAAGCAGTGGGGGCAAAAGACCTATCTGGCTTCAAGATTAAACTCGTTAAGTTTATGGAGAAGATGGTATGATGGGAAAACATGATTTTGCCAATTAATTGATCTTTAACTATTCATGGTAAATAGGCCCAATGGCCTGTGATGGGATGTTAGATGGGATGGGATCTGAGTTACTACAGAGAATTTTTTCCTGGGTATCTGGCTGGTGAATCTTGCCCACATGCTCAGGGTTCAGCTGATCGCCATATTTGGGATCGGGAAGGAATTTTCCTCCAGGGCAGATTGGAAGAGGGCCTCGGGGTTTTTCATCTTCCTCTGTAGCAAGGGGCACGGGTCACTTGCTGGAGGATTCTCTGCACCTTGAAGTCTTTAAACCATGATTTGAGGACTTCAATAGCTCAGAAATAGGTGAGAGGTTTATTACAGGAGTGGGTGGGTGAGATTTGGTGGCCTGCATTGTGCAGGAGGTCAGACTAGATGATCATAATGGTCCTTTCTGACCTTAATATCTATGAATCTATTAATTTGAAAATGTAGAAAACATCCAAAAATATTTAAATAAATGGTATTTTATTATTGTTTAATCGTGCGCTTAACTTTTTTATCGCTTGACAGCCCTAATATAAATTAGTTATAATTTTTTGTTTTTTAATTGACCAGATTCCACTATCCTTGGCAAAATGTTCGTTTTGAATGGGTTTTTCTTCCCAAAAAAAGAAATTGCATGCTCTCACCAGCACTCCAGATCTTTTTCATTTGCTAAAGTAGTGGTTTGACATTTAAATCTTGGAGCTCTTCTAGGCTGTTTGAGATCTAAATTTCCAGGTATCTTATATAACTTGTTGCTCATGTGTATCAAAATGTTTTCTAAAGGAATGGCTTTTCAGAATTTGGCAAATTTTTAGCTAGCATTTCAGATTTGGCATAATTTACTTTAAATCCAGACGCTTTTGCAAAGTCATGGATTTCTTTAGAAACTAATTTTAGGGAACTATTTGGTTTAAATAAATAAAATAATATTACATCATCTGCATACGAAGCTATTTTCAGATGTGTTCCTGCAAGTTTAATTCTTAGGATAGATTTATTTATCCTTATTCTCTGTGCAAAAGGATCGATAGCCAGTACAAAAGTAAAGGAAAAAACAGAAATCCCTGTTTACTCCTTCTGTTCATCTGAAATGAGATTTAACCCCATTTTGTTGACATTTTTTAACAAATGTATGATCAGGAGGCTTAAAATGTAGTAATAATTTAGTCTCTGATATCTACACAGCAGGGATTTGTAAACCTGTTAAAATGTCAACGAATCTTTTTACTTCATTTAAAAAAAAACTTAAGTATTATCTTCTCAATGCCCTGAGGAATTCCTAACTCTGAAATGGCAAGAAACCCTACAAAACACTGGGAACTGATGTCAGTACCGGCAGTAAATTCTACCTGGAGCAGCCAGATACCCCAGGGATCTTAGGAAGCCTGCAAAAGCCTCTGATAGGGGTAGATGATTAAAACTTTATGGACATATTTATTCTTTTCTAGGAAAATAGGAATTTCCATACTAGATCAGACCAGTGTTTCAGTTCCCTGTCTCGGACAGTGGCCAGTTCTTGCAGACAACCATGGAATTGCCATTCTTAAGGAAATTTTCTTCCTAATACTCATCAGCTACTGGTTGGCTTATGTCCTGAAACGTAACAATACAACCTTTTCAAATATTTATCTTTTCTAATCTATGTGTGTTCTCATTCACGTCTAATCTTTTTTAATCTTACTAAGCTCTTGGCCTCAAAGATCTACTGTAGCAATGAGTTCTACAGGTTAATTATGTTAGTTGTTGAGGTTGAGAAGGAGAACTGACAGATGAAATCCAGATATAATGCTGAATGATTTAACTGCTCATTTCCTTGCTTTTTAGGTTTTGTATTGCACAATATGCAGTCTAGCAACTTAAATGCCAATTTAACAAAAAAAATTTTGTGGGGGAATCTCTGAAAAATTTTAAATAGATACATATCAATACTGTATGTTCGATCAACATGGAACTTTCAACTGTCTTTTGACAAGTTATCATGCCAAATTTGAAGACTAAACTCAATCTCTAAGGTGTGAAATAGAGGAATTCTTTTTCAAACTTGAAATTAAAATTTCAATACATCGTTGGACTATGGAGTTGCTACCAAGGACTCCATTATCAAATCTGTAGTTCTGACTTTACAGTTTTGAAAGAGGTGTAAACACTTACCCAGAGTATCCACCAATAAGAGCATAGTCCTCAGATGTCCATCCATTTATATCTTTATGGGAAACGTCAGCACCATACTGAAGGAGAACTTTTATTAAACTAAGCTCTCCTCCAGAGGCAGCAATCATGAGAGGTGTTCTAAAACAACCACAAGATGACATTTAACATATCAATTTATATGATCTTTCATCTTCATTTTTTTAATCCCTAATTGTTCTCAAAACATAACTAATCTCTTTCTTCCTAGCGCAAGTTAAACAAAATCCAAACAAGACACCCAAAAAATTCAGACTCAAGTGTAAACAGAAGAGAAAATAAACTACTGCACTCAGTCTTCTTACAAGTTAGTATAACACTAACAATACAGAAAGTATGTTTGAATTAGGGAATTTTTCAAAAAATTCTTACCTGTACTAACACTAATTCAACTCACTAGTAGGCCTCCCACCAGTCTGGTATTACCAGTGGGAATTCTTTCCTAAAAGTCTCTTTATAGAAAAAGAATGGCTGCAGAAGTCAGTGGAAGAGGACTTATTAGATGATGAACCCAAGATAAGAACGGTAGTTCAGTTTCCAGAAGTCACTATGAAAGGAGTTTGCATACTTAGCTGTTTAATTAACAACATTTATAGCGCTCTCCCATACCCGTAATCAAGCAGATTGTAAGAATATTAAGGGGACGTGTTATAGCCAAAGCATTTTTGAATGTGCAGTGAAACAGATATAGGAACTGAAATTTCACCAAGGAAAAATCTTTCTTCACTCATACTCAATATGGCTTCCAAGTAGACTACTTTCTGACAAGGAACCAAGACGCGATTCTTTTTAATCACATAGACATACACTTCTTACATGGCATGTATTCTGCAAACTGCAGACTCTTTCTGTATTTATCACTGCACAGGCACAAATAAAAAGGCAGCCAACCCACAGAAATATAATTTCTCAGAGAGGATTTACTCTCTTTTGCACTTGAAGTGAGATATAGTCAATCACAAGTCTGATGTTAGGGAGACCTGCCAGCAGCAAAATATACATGATTTTGCACTAGCAAAAGATGATCACCTGTGAGCTGTACGTGCTAGGATCTTTCCTTCTACTAAGTCTTCATTAGGATACCACGACATGTATCCAGGGCACACAACAGCAAGCTGTTAAAGAACGGAAGTTGCTGCAAGAATGAAGTCCTGCTCTCCTAGGCCTTACTATGCAGTAAAATAACTCCTAACCATCCAGAATTGGGGTTTCTTCCACTTGCTTGAAAAAGGAAGCATCTAAGATGAGTGTCAATTAATCCCCTGATCAGAATTTGGTATAATCTGAATTCCTTATTCATGCAATCACCTTCTGCTAAAAATAAACCTTGCTGGGCTAATTCATACAAAATTGGAGGATTAAACATTTTAAAATGTATTTGTATTGGTTATTCACGACCATGGTTATTCTCAAAAGTAGACATCTAGCAAGAATAGTCCAGATTTTGCTTAGATGGCATAGGTTTTCTTACAACACAGCACTTCCCTCATGCAGATTGCAGGCTTTAACGTACCTTTTTACACACATCTTTCTTTGATCTGTACTTTGTGAAGATCAGCTACACCAGAGGACCTGCCTCTGTATTACTTTTGTAGCATCCACCATTTGGGGCTACTGCTTATTTCATAGATTAGTCAATAATAGTTTGACCTATACTTTACCTTTTAGACTTGTCTCTAGCATGTACATCAGCTCCTTTTCTAAGAAGAAACTCTACCATCTCTTGGTGATTTTCAGTTATAGCAATAGTAAGCGGTGTATACCCATCCTATGGAATAAAGATAAATTATTTTTCCCATAGATATATTATGCACATGCACACACTCCTACTTTCTATTTAAAATAAAAATTAGATTTAATATGATTAATAACTAAAAAGAGACAATGTGGGTGAGGTAAAATCTTTTGTGAAAGAAAAAAGCTTTTGAGCTACGAAGAGCTCTTTGGTTGGTGAAACAGACAACCTTCAGAAGAGATCTGTGTAGCTCAAAAGCCTGTCTCTTTCACCAACAGAAGTTGAGCCAATAGAAGATATTATCTCCCCACCTTGTCTCTAATATCCTGGGACCAACACAGCTAAAACACCACTACTAATAACTGAAGGATTTTTTTAAAAAATAGAATGTTGCAATCATAAAATCTGCTAACACAACACTGTACACTGAAATAAAACAATATTTATCTATACAACACACATAGCACAGGCCAGAGTGGCACAAGATTCCCATACTGATCCACTGAAGTTCCTCATCCTTGATAGGAGGGTAAAGCTAGTAGGCAGGTTCACTTTCCAAGCTGATCTAATTCATATATGTGGTGAGACTGCCAACAGAATAATAGTGGCAGGTTTTATGATATGTATACTTTCCACTTAAAGCTTTACAGAGACCAAAAATTAAAATTTCACATACACCACTGCACAGTAGTAACGTAACACATTTGATAGCTAAAATCTTATTCACAGTAGTGAAAAAAGTCTATTTTAAAATGTTGAATTCTGAGGAACTTTACACAACACAGAAGCTACAAATCCTAAATTTCTATACTACTTTAGAATGTACTGACATCAGAATAGCAAGACACTAATCTTTACATAACTTGATTCTTGAGACAAGCATCCCTGTCCCAGCTCCAATCACCTATCGCTAACTTTGACCAAGTACGATATGATAGAATAATTGGTTTGCAAGTTGCTGCATATAACCTCATGCTCAGACATTTTATTTTATTTTTTATGCCAAATTCAGTTTACAGTATCTTGCTGAAGCTTGTATTTTCCTCAATGACACCACAGACAGAGAAACTGAGGAAAGATTCAGTTCTTATTTTGCAATTTCAAGATTTAATAGGTGCCCTCTTTTATTCAGAAGAGTAGTCAGCTTGTTTCCTTATTTACACTGCTATTACAGAGCTATAACTCCATCAATTTCAATGGATTTACTCCAGATTTACAACAGTTTAAATTAGAGCAGACAGTTAGTCCAATGAACTCTAAACATGAACCATCTGAAAGATGTATATATTCATCTTGTTTCTTTTCACTGGATACTAATAAAAACTCTAAAAATATTAAAAACACCTTTATTATATTATGATAGTACCCAAATGCCCCAACACTGGATGTTTTACAAACACAATGGCAGACATAGTCCATGCTTCTGAAAATTACAACCTAGGATAAAACAAGATACAGCCAGTAATGAACAATGGGGGGGGGGGGGGAAAGGGAATAACTATTACTGTATAGCAGTATAAAAATTAACAAGGCCCCAGTTTGATAGTTCCATATAATTTAACTTTTTTTGTTTTTGGATTTTATTTAAAAGCAAATGATCATTTAAATTTTTTTCTACCAAATCATAACACCTGGCGCTCACTTAACATTTCCCACTTCTATCCCCATAAAAGTGACCTGGACTTGCTTATTATGTTTATACTATTTGTTGGTCTAGCTAGAACATGGAAAAATGATCTGCAACTGCCTCTATACCAAACATACTTGTTTCCTTTCATGAAAAGGAACTAACAAACTATCCCCACAACTCCTTTAGACAATGTACATAAAGCCCTATTTCCTCTGGAATGCCTTCGGCACTGAGGCTTAAGAGCTCTCCCATCCCCTCTACTACTGTTCAGGGCTAGGGATGGGTCCTGGCAGCTATAACATACCAGCAGAGGAAAAGGTTCTTTGATTAATATGCAGCACATACTTTGATAACTCTGCAATTCAGAATGGCAAAAAGGGCTACTGACGACAGTCCATAAATTACACCCTCTCCACTATTCCTCCCCTCTCCACTGTAACATCACCCTCACCAGACAGTCAGTCTCCCAACCTCATAAAGCAGATTACAGTCTGGAACTGCTGATATCATCAAAGTTCCTGAGGTTGTAAAGACAGCACCTTTTAGCTGCTAAAAGGGAAGGGGGCCTGCTGGGGCCATGTGCCCCCAAGGATATGGCTCTGTGGAAGGACCACAAAAGCAGAGGTCTCAGTTGTTAGGCCACGTGTATACTGCAAACTTTCAGCAGCACAGCTACATCAGTTAGCGCTGTGATCCCAGACTGAAGTAACTTTGCAGGCAAAAGCTTCAAGTGTAGACACAGTTATACCAGCAGAACTGTGCTTTTGCCAGTACAGCTTATTTTGCTCGAGGACGGAAAAGAAGCACAACTTTGCTGGTATAATGTGTGTCCACACTAGCAGCCCTTTGCCAATATAGTGTACCAGCAAAGCTTTCCGAGCATGGTGTTACTTCTTTACCCTGTTCCCTGGTGCTGGGGGGGCAGGAGAGCTGGGAAGTCATGCATGCTAGAAAGAGAGAGACACACTGTCCCTCTTGCTTGCTTTGCAGCACTCTTGGTGTGGAGAGGCAGGGCTTTGAGGTGTTTCTAAAGAGGCAGGTATGGGGCAGTCTCTGTTCCTTCAGGCAGAGCAGAATGTAGCAGCCTGTCTGCTCAGTGAATTGTTCCCATTGTTCTTAGTGAATTCCCCCACGGAATATAAAACAGGTATAAAAATTTTAAGGCTCCTTTACATTGCCAGAGTGGTATAAAGGAGCGTTATTGTAAAGGACAGTATGGCCTTATAAATGCTTATGGTGCTTTTGTGATTAGAACTAGTATAAATTTTTGGACTGAAAAACTGATGAACTGTTTGCTACTGACCTTTTTGGTGGTGGTCAGTAGCAGTATAAATTGTGAGTTTGAGTCCCCAGCCCTCACTTTCTCTTCAGTTGCCTATGATTTAACACTGAGCATATGGCTGCATATATTTGTTGACTAATAACATGAAGGGTGAATATTAGCTACATTACTAATACACAGAGGGGGGTTGGTGACTTCCTCCAGTGCTCCCCACTCCCATTCTCCATCCATTGTATTGTAGTTTAAATAAATTGCCAAAATAATTGATGAAAAATATGCAGAATTTTAAAACATTGTGCACAGAATTTTTAATTATTTGGTGCAGAATTCCTCCAGGAGCAAAAGGCATACTACTAGATGGAGATGGTAAAATTGTTAATAATGAGGCAGAAAGTGTTCAATAAATATTTCTGTTCTATATTTGAAAAGAAGCAGGATGATGTATTTGTATCACATGAGGCTGATAAATTGCTTTCCAGTCCATCAGCAGGCACTAACAACTTGCACCCAAGAGTCCTGAAAGAGTTGACTCAGGAGATCTATGTCCCAGGGAAATTCCAGAAGACTGGAAGAGTACTAATGCTGTGCCAATATTCAGACAGTGCAAGCGGTATGACCTGGGTAACTATAAGCCAGTAAGCCGGACATCAATCCCAGGACATCAATACCAAAAAAAAAAAAAAAAAAATGGAAATGCTTATATGGGATTCAGTTGCTAAGGAATTAAAGAACAGGAATATAATTAATTCCAATCAACATGCTTTATGGAAAATAAGTCTTGTCAAATTTCATTCTATGATGACATTATAAATGTGATTGATCAAGACAAAGGGTTTGCAGCCACAGTTCAGTCTCCTTTGGCTGAAGATGCACATCCACAGTCCGTCTTTTAGAGTCATAGTTTAGGAATACTCCTGGATTCCTCGCTGATGCTAAGCTCTCACATAGCAGCAGCTTTGAGTAATGCTTTCTGAGCTCTCCACATGGCTAGGAGACTCCATCCCATCCTAGCAGACAATGTTTTGGCCTCAGTTATCCATACCTTTGTCACTCCTCAGCTGGACTATAGCAACATGATATACTGGGGCATGAAGACTTCAGCATTTTGAAAATTCCATCTAGTACAGAATGCTGGAGTGCACCTCCTCGGCAACAAAGGCTATCATGAAGACATCACAGCTCTCTTCCACTCTTTACGCTCGCTTCCCATAGAATTTCAAATCAAGTTTAAGGTGTCAACCTTATTTTCAGGGAGCTCAGTGGCCTAGACCCAGGATATCTAAAACATTTCCATCATTCCAAAACAAAGACATTGGTCAATAACTCTGATCCTCAAGCACAATGGAACTCTCTACAATAAGGGTAGAGCTTGTCTGTGTAGTAGACAGAACTCTCGGTGGGGCTAGTCCCACACTGTCGAATGAATTCCCCCAGGAACTAAGAACCATCACAAACCTCACCACTTTCTGCTCAAATTGCAAGGCTCATTTCTTTGATCTTGCCTTCTCTAACATAAACACATAGCAACAGGTATGTTTAATAAAAAACAAAACTTAAAAAACTGCCAAAACAAGACACTCTGCTGCTATCCCTGGGGAGGATGAGAGACCAAACAGCATATGACAGACGTGTAGTCACATTGCTTAATGCACTACTAGAAGATGTTGGTGATGAGTGCAGTATAAGGACCTCTATGGAAGAGAATATAATATACTTCGACTTATTTCCACACAACATTCTGATTAAAGAATTAGAGCTATAACATACCAATTAAGCATACATTAAATGGATTAAGAAATGGTTAATTGACAGGTCTCAAACCGTAGTTGTCAGTGGAGAGTCATCAATGAATATGGGTGTTTTTAGTGGGGTTCTGCAAGGATGCAGACTACGCCCAATGCTACTCAACATTTTCACCCCGGCGCAGGACCAAGTATATCTAAACCATCCCTGACGTGCTTTTCTAAGGGTACATCTACAGTACAAAATTATTTCAAAATTATTCTATTTGAATTTTTGGAAGCGATTTTATACATTCAGTCTTGCGTATCCCCACTAAAGCGCGTGAATTCAGCGCAGTGAGTCCACAGTAACGAGGCTAGCATTGAATGTCGAAGCGGT